ACCACAAGAAACCCACACCTAAATGGCTGAGTTATGACCAAGAACAACAAATAGTGTAGAAACAAGCAAGAATTACTCTAAAGCCACTCCAAGAATACTTCAGAGAACTGACTTCCCAAGAAGAATTTCCAAAAGAAATTCACGGAATGTGTTGACCCACACAGTGAGCTCTATCTGTATGGAGAATTCAGTCGAATACATAATTCGTGTTCCAACAAAAGCTCTAACGCCAATACACCGGCTAAAATTCAGCAATATTGCTTATCAAGATGTTGCAGTTGGAAGAAATTTCACCAAATAGCTTAAACAAAAAAATGTCAATTGAACTTGAATACCAATTCCAAAATCTAACTATGCCAAATTCTAGATACACTAGACAAACACCAAACCAAATTTCCATCCCTATTAGAACCAAACCGGCCCACAATGAAGCCCACACTAAACTACGAGGAAGCAATTCAAACCAAATCGCTATAGCTCAAATTAAATTCCCAACAACTCAATAAATGACTAGATGAACTGAATTTCTCGAATTACCACGAGCAAAATTAATTTCCATCAAGTTCAAATTTCTAATCCCATAAAACCCAAGATTAAAGTCCAGAAAACCCACCTATTGTTGAAAATCCAACTTATTGATCGACTCAATAACTACTAACCCAAACAATACCAAATCCCACATGAGTGACCCAAATAAAACGAAGCCCCACAGAACAAAAATCCAAACTAAGACCATTCCAACATTACCAAAATAAAGTGCTGGCAATTTATAGCCCATATTAATCACCCCACAAAGGTACCAGATTGCTGTCCAAAAAATCGCCTAAAGGAATCAGTAGCTTAAATCTTAGCCTAAATTAACAAAACAACCCAAATTGTTTAATAAATCCACAGCCCAACACCAAATCAACCGAATTAATAACCAAACAACAAGCCTACTAATAGGCTCAACAACCTAAAACTAATCAATAACCCCATCCAACTCCTTATCTTTTCCACACAAGCAGATCGAGTGGTCGTCACCCCCTCTTTAGATGCCGACGAACCACGGACTAGCTCAGACAATCTTCGGCAAGTCACGTCAATTCCCGTCATTGGCTAACTACCTAGCATCACCACGGAAATCATCCTCGAAATCCTAACTAGACCCGTCGCCCATTCCTCTCCATCTTGAGTCAGCAACCCTCCTTCAATAGAATATGATATTGAACCATGTATGCTTTCCTTAACTGGCCCATCACCACCACAGCAGACAAACCCAATCACCTGAGTCGACCTACCCAATATCCATGATGCACCTCTGCCACTCCGACAACCACCGCAGCCGTTATGTTGACGGCCTTAGTCGCGAACGCCACTGCCCTCGTAGCGGCCACGCTAGAATCCACCGCCACCAATATCTCCATTGTCGTCAGATTGAGTCTCCTTAACAGTAATATTCCTCCCATCAAGCTCCTGACCTTTCGTTCCAATTTTGGAATCTCTATTTTCACAAGCAATTTAAAAAAACTTGGGATTTCTACTAAAAGAAAATTTTGGCCGCACAAGCAGCATAAGGCTGCTCGTCGGAAATGAAATTCAATGATTAATTTGTTTAGGATCGAAACAACTCTGATACCATGTCAAGAAAATTGTAAATTGTATCTAATAAAGTCTTGTAAATATTACAAAGGAGAAGACCTTATTTATAGGGCTACAAATAACTATAAAAGGAAATAATGTAAAAGGAAAGATTTTGTAATAATTACACAATCAATTATTAAAGAAAATAATCCTACACTATTGGAAAACTATTATAGAGTAATAATGATCCTATATATCATTATACTCTACTGATATATAATATATTGCCAATTACAACTTGTATGTATAGATTAATAAAACCACCCATTGAGTTAGAAGATAGTTTTGTAACTTATAACGATAGTAAATAGTGAATTAAAGTTATGGGGAAAATTATTTGCTGCTAATATAATTTGTAACCAACGGTTGAGGATTATGGACATCCGTCAATTTAATTATAACACTCCACCTTAGATGTTTATCACATACAAAATATGGCTTGTTAAAATTTTATTAGGAAAAAAAATTGTGGAAAATTATCATAGTAAAGGAAAAATGTTATTCAAACATAATGGCTGCCTCATTCAAAATCTTGTCAACAAATCAGCAGGATAAGACCCCAGTCAATGAAAAAAGAGTACAACATGTAATAACTTCCTCTCATGGTAACGTCACTTGAGATCTCAATATCAATGCACTTAAATTTTGTTTATCAACTTCTTAAGTATTGCTTCAGTAGCATGTCATCGACAAAGTTACTTCATTGACTGCAACAATTTAGCACCGTTTGCAAATCGCCAAGATATCGCAGTATCACCACATGTAAAAAGATGGCTAATTAGTACAAAATGTTCTTACCATCCAATGTTATTGTACAAAACGTCTATATCTTTCATTTTTTTAGCATTTTCACCCCTCTTTTTACCTTCCATTGTGAAAAAGGTTATTTTCATTTAATTTCTCAATAAAAAAATATAAAATAACAAATATATCCTCATATTTAAATGAAACCAAAAAAGAGAAGAACAAATTACAATTATACTCTCAAATTTTTTCAAAAACTGTAAATGAATCCAAACAAATTATTAAAAGGGTAACTAACACAAAACATCCTAACTATCAATATTATTGTACAAAACATCTTTACCTTTTATTTTTGGAATTTTCACCCTTATTGTTACATTACATTGCAAAAATCATGATTTTAATACATTTTCTCAATTAAATAATGTAAAATAATGAATACACCCTCCTATTTTTAAGAGAGAGAGAGAGAGAGCAAACTGCAAATATACTCCCAAATTTTTCAAAAAAGTATAAATAAATTCCAAATAAACAATTAAAAAAGTAATTTTTTTAATTTTTGTTTTTAATTATTTATTTGAAATTTATTTTTACTTTTTTGAAAACACTAGAAGTATAGTAGCAATTTGTTCTTTATTTTTCTTTAATTTCAATATGAGAGTATATTTTTCATTTTACAGATTTTAATTGAAAAAATTAATAAAAAGGATAATTTCTGCAATAAAATATGAAAATCATGTAAAATTCCAAAAAAAAAAAAATGAAAGGTAAAGACGTTTGCACAATAATATTAAAAGGTAGAGACGTTTTGTGCTAATTACTCTTTTAATAATTTATTTAGACTCATTTGCAATTTTAAAAAAAAATTGAGAGTATAATTACAATTTGTTCTTTTTTTCCTTTTTGGTTTTATTTAAATAGGAGGGTATATTTGTCATTTTATATTTTTTTTTTTTTGAGAAATTTGATGAAAATGACATTTTTCAGAATGAAAAGTGAAAAATAGAGATGAAAATATCAAAACATAAAAGGTGCGAACGTTTTGCATAATAACATTCCAACTCTTTGTTCATAGAAGATCCGTTATCTTACTGGTAAGTAGAATAGTGAATCTATTGCATACACATATAATACTTGTGAGCTAAAAATTTCTTGTTATCATCTCAAGATCGAAGATTGTGCACTTTCATATAGAATAATTATAGGACATTTTATGTACAAGATAAATCAAGAACAAAAATTCTAATGATAAATCCTTGATATGCAGGCTGAGGCAAAACTTTGTCTTCTAAGATCTTTCATATCACAGTCTTACTTTAGATAATTTAATTCCCATAGTGAAAAATCGAATGGGTACGAAATTTTAACACACCAAAATCTATTTCATTTTTATTTTATAAAAATAGATTTGAAGTGTTACCAAAAATCATCTTTTATCTAATTTAAGTGGAAAATCACTTTTTTTTTTTTTTTTTAAATTTGAGATTTGATCGGTAATTCAATAATGATAGACTAACAATTCAAGCGAAAAATTTTCACATTAAATAAAAGTCTTGAAATACTACAATTTCAAATTATCAATTTAGATCTAACGTAGAATGTTAAATGTTCGAACAAAAAAAAAAGATAGGAAAAATTGCAGTTGACATACCAAACCTTTCGTTTATTAGCAGATTTTGTCCAAACCTTTCATTTGTGCCACCATGAGTACCAAACCTTTAAAAAATATGCAGCTCAAGTCCAAAATGATGATTTCCATTAATTTGACCATCAAAACCGTTAGTTGACTCCCAAAATAAAAAAAACTTTACTATTTCCCCCAAATAAGATAGGGGCATTTTGGATAAAACACAATTTTCTATTAAATCAAAAATTGGAAAAAAAAAAAAGGTCAATAATGGTATCTCTACAATCGCCGACAGACACCATCATCCACTCTACCCAACCGTCGCAACCACCGCTGACAGCCACCACTACCCACGCAACACCTACATCACCATTAAAGCTCAATAATAATATCTCTACAACCTCTCACAAACCCCAAATTCTCAGCCTTCATAGTCACGTCGGGCTTATCTTCATCTGTGCACAGCTTGAGCAATATGTCGAATGGAGTGCCTACCTCCACCAAAATCTCTTCCTCGTCAACTCTTTCTTCCTCTTCAATTACCCTATCAACAGCTTCATTAACATTATCATTACTATCGCAAGCATTAGACTTTAAATTTGGCTGCAATTTCAACAACCTTGACTCCACTGATTACTATTCCAGAAACACCCGCCACTCCCATTCAACTTTAACAAATCAAGGTTTGTTTCAATTGAATCCAACCCACAAACCAAATCCGCCTCTATTCGATTTTGCTTTTCGGGATTTTGCCTTTTTAGGCTTTTCAATGGATTGGTGGTGGTTGAGAAATAGGGTTTGAGAGGTGGCGACTGAGAAGGGTTTGTGATTGTGAAGAAGAAGGGTAATCACTGTGGTTTTATTTTTTTTGTTTTTGTTGTCTTTAAATTTTTTTGATTTAATAGGAAAAATGTGTAACCTACAATTAATTTATTCAAATTGTGCCACGTCATCCGTTCTTGATATAAGCTAAGTACACGTGCTTGGTTCTCACGGTTGGCCGACTACTTTGAAACCAATATCAAAGTTTGGTGACAATTATTGCTGTGATTAATCCTCACTTGTTTCCAACGTTAAAAAATCAAGTGTATTGAAAGAGTATATTCCTATGCTCCCCGCCTGTGAGAAGATTCCCAATTGCAATGAACAAGATGTGGATTGCAGTTTCAGCCATAGTGGTGGCCTTCCTCGCCATAACTTCATTTTCTCCACTTGAAAAATTCTATCACAACTTCGCAGTTCCTCGTAAGTAAACATAATCAAAATCAAATTTCATTGAATTGTAAATAACTTTGTGTGTGCCGGTACACCAGTGTACGATCTCCTGTAGCACAACGTTCTTACCCATCGCCTCCTGTGCTCCCGAAGAAAATTACAGTAACTTGTTAAAACTGTTAATGAGTTTTTGGGTTTTACGGGCATAGATATATATTCACAATGTAAAATGTAATGATGGTCTTAGAAATTTGTATTATTATCTGAGCTTTTTCTTGTATTGATTTTTTGGGTTTGCAGAATCGTTTTTGCATGGTGTAGTAGCAGATTTGTTGGTGACAAACGGGACTATATATACCAGTAACGTCAATCTTCCCTTTGCTGACTCCATGGCAGTTCGCAATGGTCGGATTCTCAGAATTGGCAACTATTCCTCCATGCAGGTCTTTTGTTTATTCCCCCTTCTGAACTTGATTTTCATTCAGTTTCACTCGTACAAGTACTCGCATTTGGAATTTTTTTATTTTAATTTTAATTTTTATTTTGGTTGAAGCACGTAAAAGAGGATATCATTTATAAAATTAGCATAGGTTGGATGAAATGACAAAGCAAGTAGGAATTCTTCATGATCGATAGACACTATATAGTTAATAGGCAAGTTTTACGAAATGGTTAATTGACCAGTTATGCTTTTTAGTATTGAATTGTGGGCCGTTTGAAGAACAAAATGTCGAAAAGATGAAAGTGACGTGGGATGGTTTTCTTTAGAACAGATAAAGAAGAAATGAGAACATTTTATTTTAATTTTAATTTTTATTTTGGTTGAAGCACGTAAAAGAGGATATCATTTATAAAATTAGCGTAGGTTGGATGAAATGACAAAGCAAGTAGGAATTCTTCATGATCGATAGACACTATATAGTTAATAGGCAAGTTTTACGAAATGGTTAATTGACCAGTTATGCTTTTTAGTATTGAATTGTGAGCCGTTTGAAGAACAAAATGTCGAAAAGATGAAAGTGACGTGGGATGGTTTTCTTTAGAACAGATAAAGAAGAAATGAGAACATATGTCAAGAAGTGAAGGTTCACCAATTGATAACAAATCAAGAGAAAGACGACTGAGATTGTTGCAGCATGCCTTGTGCGTACACCTTAAAAATCTCTTGTTTATTGAGTGTAGCAACAGAAGAACAAATTAGACTAGGAATATGTACACCAATATTAACATGACCAAATGTGATTGTAAAGGATTTGATTCCGCGGAATATTTCGATAGCTGTGATGATAGAGCTGAGTAAAGTTATTCATGTAGGCAACCTAAAATTATCCCCTTTCTGAAAATAAGTACAGGTTATATTAGCCTGGAGAATATTTTACTCTCTTCCATTTTCTATTTACTTGCATAATTGTATTTGGTTTTTGGGGTATCTCGAGGTCAAAAATTGAAAGAAATCTTGTTGCTATATGTTAATTATAATAAAACTGAATGAAGAAACTAATTTTATGTGGACTGCTGCTTAATTTGGCCAAGATGATTGATGATATTTAGGAATTGCATGAGATTTTGCAACCCAGTTCACTGGCTGCTAGTGAAGAACTTCATTTTCTCTTATAATTCGGACAGAGTCTCAATTCAATGGTTGAAAGTATTATTATGTGACATTTCTAGATTCAGATGTTCTTTTCTAGATAGGTGTTATGTATCCTCTTTAAGCATGCTGTTGTTGGTCCAGCTATTGGATGGTTAGTGTTCTTTTATGGAGACCATTTACACTGTATCTATAATACAATTATGATCCAAGTGAAGAGTCAAATCAATATAATTCATTGAAATTTTGGTTACATCCATTTATTTTTGGATATCAGTTGTACCGTTGATGCATCAATGAATCCTCCTTCTACACTTTCATGATTTGATAATCCCCTATTGTCTATTTATGTCATTCCTGATTCTGGATAACTTTCTGTGGAAGATAAATGAAATCTCCTAATCAACATTTTGGAGATGGATTATGTTTTCTTTTCATGCCGTCGCATAATGAATAGCTTTTTATTCTTCTTTCGGATCATACATGTTTTATGTACCTTTCCTATTACTTTTCCCATAAAGACGCAAATTTGGTTCTAATTTATTATATTTTTCTTTTAAATGATGACATAATCAGACAGGTTTAGGGGGAAAGAGAAATAGGGATGTTATGCAGTCAGATACTCTTTTACAAAATGAATAAATTCTAAACTGATTAAAAAAATCCATAATCTCTTTTCGCCATTGTCTGCTTATATGTGGATGCATGTCATTGCAGGACTTGGCCGGATTTGCTACTAAAACATTGAATCTAGAGGGGAAGGTTGTGGTTCCTGGATTTATTGACTCACATGTTCACTTAATTTTTGGAGGATTGCAGGTTCTTGCTATAATCTTTCAATTGTGTTCATTTTTCTGTTCCTATATGTGATAATACAATCTGGGCTTCATAGTTTATACATTTTGATCAAGAAAAAGTTGTTGGCTAAAACATTATTTTAGTTCTTTAATCAAACCGGACTAGAAGAATAATTCTTTTCCTCTTCTAACATTATTCCTTTGTATCTTTTTCAGTTTGACTTGATATTTTGATATATATTTTGTTCAAGTAGATATCTTACAAATACTTTCTATTACTTTATTCATTTAAGTATCTCAGCCGAATTAAAAATTTTTACTCTGAAGAATCCTTTATATATATATATTTGAAATTTCAAATTGACACAACTGTTACATCTGAAATTCAGTTATGCTCATTTTCAGAAATTTGTTGTTTAACTGGAAAGTTCTTGAGGAGTCGAGTATTTTAACATTGATAAAGAAAAGAGTTGCTTTGTCTGAGCATTTAGAAATTGTTGGTGAACGGACTAAAAGTGAACGGTTCAAAAGTGAGGACATTACTACTCTCTCATACTCAATAAACAATTGCTTATGTTGTTTTTATTAACGCATAATTTAGACAGAAAAAGTTCTAGGAACACGTTTTTTGGACATTTAGTTGCAAATAGAATGTGGTTATGAAAGGAGAATTTTTTTGGGTCATTAAAATGACTGTTTGCACAAGAATTTTCAATGATAGGAAGTTTGAGTAATTTCAATCCTCTCTCTCTTTTCATTAAGAATTTGAACTAACAATGTTTGTCATCACTTTAAATATAGAAGGGTCACTGTAAATAATGATAGTATTGGAAAAAATTACTTTATTGTGTTTTTTAAATTATAATAAATATGCTGGACTTATTTAGAAAATGGAAACAGATGGCACAAGTGCAACTCCGTGGTGTAGATAGAAGAGAACACTTCGTGAACAAGGTCAAAGAGGCATTATCAAGTAAGTCACATGTTTCCATGCATATTATATGCTAATTAAATCAACATCACAATTTTAATTTTTATTACCAATTATATTTATCATACTTTGGCTACCATTCTCACTATTTTTGTTTTGTTTTTGTTGCTGCTTTTTCTATTACCTCTTTTTGCTCATTGAAGATTGAAGAATTCCACCATTTTGTTGCAATTGCTTCACCATTTTATTTGCATTAAGCATTTTTTCATGTTGTTGGGTAATTGAGCATGCAACAACTTAGTGAAAGTATGTAATGGTTATTGTTGAAGAAAAAGGTATGCTGTGTGTACTATCTAAAGCACTATAATCATGGGTTTGGTTGGAATTCCTAGATATGAGACAGGGCTCTTGGTTACTGGGGGGTGGTTGGAACAATGATCTATGGGGAGGAGAGTTGCCAATGGCATCTTGGATTGATGATATCTCTCCTTACAATCCTGTAAGAAGTTTTGAGTTCATTGTACACGTTCTTTAATCTTGTAGTCGCATGCTATTTATTTTAAAAACTTTGCGTGCAGGTTTGGCTGACAAGGATGGATGGCCACATGGGCTTGGCAAACTCCATGGCTCTTAAAATTGCTGGAATTTCTAAGAGCACAGAGGATCCAGGTGGTGGAGCTGTAATGAGAAACGGCGGTGGAGGTATTGTCAATGTCATCTTTCTATACCAAGTTGGTTTATTTTTCTGGAGAATTTAACCTTCTTTCAAGTTAAAGTTTTTAGCTACTAAAACTGTTGTTCACACCAGTTTCATATTATGTAGAAGTATCTTTGTCACTATCCTTGTCGTGGCACCCGTAATAAATAGGGTGTTTGGTCCCCTTACACATGGATCCAGCTACAATATATTACACTGCAGTAGAAACAAAATTTTAATTATATTTACACAACAAGCAACTAGCATATTGGTGTCCGTTTTATCCTTTCTTCTTGTCGAATGTACACAAATTTATTCCTTTAGACAGACTTGAACAAGACTAGCTTAAGGTTGAGCCATGATTTAGTCGTTCCTATCTATCCAACTGTAAAATCATGAAAGAACTTCTGATTACATTTATTCTTAATATGTTCTGGTTCTTCTCAGTTCAACACGCTCCCCTTTCTGATCTATGGAACTTCCATTAATCCATCTAAACAGTTGAGAAATAAGTTTGGATTGATATCATGTTGCCTTGTCATCACATGCAGAACCTACTGGTTTGCTGGTTGACTCTGCAATGAAGCTTGTCCTCTCCTGCATTCCAGAGGTCTCAATAAAGGAGAAGAGGGAAGCTCTATTGAGAGCCAGCAATCATGCCTTAATGAGAGGTGTGACAACAGTGGTTGATTTTGGGAGATATTTTCCTGGTGTATCAACAGAGCTATCGTGGGAAGATTTGTCAGGTTTTTATAACAAGTTCTAAAGATTCATCTTTGGATAAAAATGTGGTGCTGGCTTGACTCTTAAATAATGTCTAATTTTGGAAGTCATCATCAAACTGAAAACATCAAAAGGTCGCCTTTTACTAAGATTCTGACCGAACATTTAAAAAGGAACTAAATGGTACTTATAATGCACAAGGAAATGCAATGAACAAGGTTTTGTTATTTGAAGGCAAAGCTGAAAATTTTAAGAACAGTAAACTAACATGCAATGTTTTTGCATACATGTTTTTCTTCATCTCTTTAGTCTGTTTTCTTTTATATTTTCAGATGTCTACAGATGGGCTGATTTATCCGGGAACATGAAGATCAGAGTTTGCTTATTTTTCCCTATAGAGACATGGGCACGCCTATATGTACTTAAGTGATTGATTAACTTTCTTCGATTGTTAATTTCCTTTACTTAGTATGCAACTGAGCACATAGCTGAATGCCTGCTTATTTATCATATTCGACAAATGCATACAAGGATGTTTCTCTTGTACTTATGTCTCTGTATTGACCTTATGCACGAAAAGTCATGAACTCGATAGGATTCTAGTACATATATTCCTATCAAACACCATTCATTTTATGTATGGTTTTTATACATCTTGTTAATTATTAATCCTCATTGAGATTTATTTATTTATTTATTTTTCTTTCTTAGGAACTTATAAATGAAGCTGGTCGTAAGCTGAGTCAATGGATCTACTTAGGTGGCATGAAATCTTTTGCTGATGGATCCTTGGGATCTAGCAGTGCATTGTTATATGAGGTGAGAATAAAAGCATTTTTGGGAGTTGTTTATAATCCATTTAATTTATAAATAGATTGAAATGAGTGTTGGATAAGTGTACTACTTGTGGGTCCCATGAATTATGGATAAAAAATGGTTGACCGATTGTATGTAGATTATAAACAAGAGGCATGCAAGGGCTAAGATTCTTTTCATTTATGCTTATGAAAGCCATTTGTATCTTGATTTTTTTTTACTTATTTTTCTGGGTAAGTTCTGTATTTAGACCTACACAAAATGGTAGTTAGATGCTTCTTGGGCTAATGATTTCTTCTTTTCCCTCATGTTTTAACATTCTAGGGTGAGAACATGTTAGAATTAGTTTATGGTACTGAGAGTTTCCATGTTTCTGTAGCCATATGTTGATGAAGTGCAGAATTACGGCCTGCAAGTGGCAGATATGGATGGTTTGTACAACATGACAGTCTCTTCGGATAAATCTGGCCTTCAGGTTCTTTGTTTCTTGCTATGCAGATCACATCCTCTTCTTTACAGTCCGCATGGTTTCGCATTCTTCTATTGATGTCATTTTTATTTTTTTCCAGATTGCAGTTCATGCCATAGGTGACAGGGCCAATGACTTAATCTTGGACATGTTCAAATTTGTGGCATCTAAGAATGGAATAAGGGACCGAAGATTTAGGGTAAATTCGACTGCTTTGAGTCTAAGAAGTTCATCAATCGATTCTCAAGTTTCCTTGTGCTTGACATATTCTGGCACTTTTTTCCTTCCCAATAAATTTTCAGAAGTGTTGCTAGGGATATATGGGTGTAGGTGTAGGCCAACGTGCTTAATTTATGAGTGGTAGGTGCAAATGTGGGTTATAGCTTGTTAGGACTACTTATGTAATGTGCATTGGGCTTGGTCTTGGTCTTGGTCTTGGTGTGGCTAATGAGTTTGTGGCCTAAGGGAGATACTGGGTTGCTTGGCAAAGTTATAGGCTCGCCGTATCATGGTTTTTTGGCTTAATTGTAACCTCATGGCAACAATGAAATTTGAATTCTTCTTTGTTGATAAAAAAGACTGCGTTTGAACTTCTTGTTTGCAGGTGCTCATTTTGCTGTAGAGAAATCTTTAATTATTCTTAAAAGACTGCTGTAATAGTTTCTTCTATTAACTTTGAAACCTGTCAAAACTTCATGAAAGTTGTTTGGTCAAAGGAAAATGACTTATCTAGCTGAATGTTAAAATTATGAAATGTGGTATAGTTTTTGCATTTCGAAAATTTAAAAATTGTATAATTGATTAATTATATGAATTATTAAGTAAATATAATATTTTATAATTTTAGATGTTTGGTTTGTAATTTTTTAATTTATAAATGTTTTTTAAAATGATTAAAAAATTGAAATAATATAAAAATAAGAAAACCTTTTTTTTTTTTTCTTCTTCTTCGTGTCTAGGCTTGTAAAATTTGAAACAGGGGCAGAGCTAAGATTGTAGAATTGTGGGGGCAACCGGGGCGGGGGGTGTGCATAATTAAAAACTATTAAGGTTTTTTTTTTTTTTTAAATTTTTTTTCTTGTGCAAAATCTTAGATTTAAAATTTAGTGTCGGGGCAGGTGACCCCACTACCCCCACTGTAAACCTATCTATGGCCTTTACGTTTAATCACACTTTGTGCTTTATAGAACACTAGTATTGATATGCCATTCCCCCCACCCCCTCCCATTTTGGTGTTATTTCACACTACAATGTTCCTGTATCTCATACTTGGCTAATTTTGTTATAATAACCGTTGTTTGTCGTTTTCAGGCATGCCTTTAAACTTCTTGGGTCTTGGCGCTGGTGGTGGCTGTGGTGTTGGGTTAGGGCTTGGATGGGGATTTGGCACAGCATTTGGTAGTCAGTATCGTAATTCTAGGGTTACATTCGAAGGTACGGGATTTGATCGTAAAAATCACAATGAAGAAAGAGATTCTGAAAACCCAAGAAAGAAAGTCCAGAAAATTCATGCTTCTCAATAATTTCTCTTTGGACCAAGTCTGAAATCTCATCTTCAAATTTGTTGCAACATCGAATGTTGTATTATGCTATGTTTTTCTAGTTTAATTTTGTACAATATTTGTTCTTTCTAGGTTTCATGAAAGATTCCTTAAGCATGGTATTGTGGCTTAAACTTTAACTGTTTACACAGATGAGAAATCCAATTTGACTAGAAAACTGGAATTAAAATAATCTTGTTCGAGCAAGATCAGCTTAGGAAAAAATGTGATATGACTTTTGAAAAAGGATAATACTACAGCTTATCTTAATTTTATCGGGAGCGTGACTTAATTTGTTATTTTGTTGCTCCTGTACAGAAGAACATTACTTTTTTTTTTTTTTTCATGATGGAGAACCCTCAGTCGCTACCCTTCGGGTGCGCATTGGGTAAACCGTCAGACTGATGCAATAGTCTGCAAACTATGCTAATAAGATAAATCGCATTAGACAAATCCTGTGCGACAGGTTTGATCGAAAAAGTGTTGGTAGGAGGAATTAAATTCGTGACCAGAGGCTTCTGCGCTCACCTATTCGACAAACTCGGCCACCCCATTAGGGGTACCTTACATTGAACCTTAACTTTCATAGAAGGGAGTATAAGAAAGTATGGCTCTATATATTCATGATTTGGACAATCACAAAAGAATATCTTTGCAGTTTAAAATGCAATTTTTGAAAGATGCGACTGAGACTGCTGTGGCCAACATCTCTTTAAAGATATTTATATGCAAAGGTGAGACTAGCTTAGATCTGCACGGCTCAATTTGCCCATTTTTTGTATGTAAACTCTTGCGAGGGTTCGTGGCAACAAATAATCTTCCTTGTATGTGAATAGCCACTAGAACATACAGTATTCGTATTTTTGTGCAATAATATATCAATCTCTTGAATCATTTGTAGTTTCCTAAAAATATTTTGAAAAAAGAAATTTTAGTCCAACATTTTATTTTATTTTATTTTATAAACTCACTAAGTATGGAAAGATTAATTTTAATTGAGATGCATTAAATATTTAACAAAATTAATAATTTAAAAATATAAATAATCAGTAACAAAAAATCTCAAAATTTTGTTTCAAAGAAAAAAAATTATACTTTAAAAAATCTTTTATAATTTTTAAGGAATGACTTATCGGTCTGACTAGTAACTTGAGACCCAATGCCTCGGTTGGATAAATGTTCAGTCGAGTCTAATAACTATGGTTCCAAAAGGGCCGCCTAACCTAACAAAATGATCGACCACTAAAACTTAAAAAGAAAATAAGTCCAACCAAAAACATATTGACCCAAACCCAACCCACGAACATAGCTCTATCTGTTCATTAACAAAGTACAAAGTATTATTGATTTGATATATTTATAATTTTGATAATTATGTTTTTTTTTTCCTTTTTTTGAAAGCTTAAAATAATATGTATGAAACTCTTAGGGCCGGTTTGATAGGTTTCTTTTTTCATGGAAAGTGGAATTTTTTTATATTTTTCACTCAAATGGTATGTTTGATGGGCAAAATTTCCATGGAATTTGGTTTCCAATTAACCTCCACGTGACTGGATTTTAAGGGATTGATTTTCCTTTGGTTTTGGTAGGAATTGGATTTTTCAACTTCTTTTTTTATTTTTTTTAGCAATGAAAACAAATTTTATCCATAATTGTAACAAATTTCATCCATTTAATCGACAATTTTCATAAAAAATAAAGCCAAACGAATACCAAAAAATCCAAAATTTCAACATTTCTCAGATGAAAAATTATACCAATCAAACATATTTAATTGACAATTCTCAATAAAACAAGTTCTAGGCAATTCAATTTTCTAAAATTCGTTTTCTTTCCACCCAAATTTCATTCTTGCAATCACACGGACATTTATATTATTTTATGATGTGCATTATTATTTTATTTGTTTATTGGTCTAGATTAATTAAAATAATATTAAAAATATAAAGCATCTTAATATGCCTAATCTCACAAGGATTGAGGCTTGACCTTCTAGCGTTATTACACTTTACACCTTTTGAAACCTTTCTTTTATAGTGTTTTAAAAATTCCATATTAAATACATTCAAAATTTTTAAATCTCTAGAAGCCTTAATGGTCCCAATTTAATATTCGACGAGTATTAGAACACATATCGCTAAGCTCAACGAGAAGTAAAACTCATGTTTAAACTTTCTTCATCAAACATAATTTTAAAACTTAATTTATTAGTGTAAACCATTTTTCTAAATAATAAAGCTTAACTTACTTTCTAAAAGAATAAAAGTACATATGAGAAGTGTTTATAAACAACGATGTTTATAAATATATAAAAATAAGTAGTGAAAAAGTGGATTGTACTTGTGGATTTGATTAAAGTGTTTATAATCAATGGTATTTATTAATGCTTCCCAAACATATTATAACTTCTAAGTTCAAAATACAGTATAAGATTCACCGCCACTCATTAATTTCGGGTCGATATTATTAACAGCATGCTCGATTATGCCTTTTAAATTATTTATTTCATCATACATAAATTTTGAAATTACTTTTTCAATAATATAATCAGGGTCGGATCCAAGATCGAGTTACAAAATTTCAAATCGAGCTACTACCCAAAAATAAATAAATTTACACATAAAAAACTAGTCTTTTACCAAAAAAATAAAATAAAAATACTTTAAAAAAATATTCTTGGGCCTGAGTGGGGGGACTACAGTCTAGCCCATCCCCCCAAATCCGTCTCTGAATATAACTCTTTTATGAAAAGTAAATCTCGATAACTTGAACATGAATTACTTTTAAGCACGAAAAATAAAACTCTTTTATACATCAATAACTTTTAAGCACGATCGAAGTCGCCATTAATTCCCTACTTGCCAACATCAAACCTATGGAAACTTGTTAGGTGATGCAATTTTTTGGGCCCATAATGTATTTCTCTTGAGTTTGGTTGAAAGGGACAAGCATTTGATATATTGGGAAATTTTCAACTTACATACGCCACTAGTTTTATACTTTTGTTGGATAGTGAGCTCCAGCGATATGTATTAATCTCATCAACTACAAGTCTCTCAACATCCACCCATATTCTAATGTCCTCTTATTCAAAGGCAAAGGGACAAATTATATTAAGCCACCGTTTGGTTCTTATTTTTTGACCACAAAAATGAAAAAAATAACCGTTATCCATCACATCAAGTAATCATATTTGACTTTTTATCTTTTGTGTGGATCCTGTAACATCTATATTTTTCATTTTCATTCTTACAAAAATAGAAATCAAACGAACCCAAATAATAAAAATTTAACACCCTCTATTTTGTAGTGTCTATTTTGAATATCGATAGAGATTGTAATGGAATAAGTTTGGGATTGTCCTGCTCATAGGGCTTGGCCTCGACTTGTGTCCAAGCTCAAGGTGGGGCGAGTACAGGGTAATACCGAGCCTTGTTTATTTTATTTTTGCAAATTCTAGGGTGATTCAAGAATTTGGTTAATGAGCTTGAGTAATTGGTTCGGATTTGAGCATAAAATAGTTGCGCTAAGGTAGTTTTAACAATGCTTGTTGTTGTTGTGTTTTTGTTTTTGTTTTTGTTTTTTTTTTTTTTGAAAACTATTATAAGCAAGGCAGCAAAATTGTACATCGCCACGTCAAGATGGGGCATGACGATAATTGTATTTTTCTAGTAAAATATCGTTCCTACCTATTGGGTTGAAAATAAAGGTATAAAATCTGAAGATTAATCTGTTTTAATAGGAAATAAAAGAAAGTTTAAACCTTTATTTTGATATTTGTTTATCTATTGAAGTTTTGTTTAATTTTTTGAGGTGCACGTGATGTGGCTTTTGAGGGAAGAAATTTTACAAGACGTTTGTTCTTAACCTAAAATGGTATTGGTGCACCCTATTATTTATTTTGTTTGATTGCTCGCTAAAATTTCGAGTGAAATTTGAATTTAATGGTTTTATTTTCAAAAAAACGACATATTTCTCGATTTTCTTAATTGTAGTTTGATGCATTGAGAAAATGTCTTATGAATCTTTCAAAATTAAAAAGGGTAATTGTTACAAAATGTTCATATTTTTTAAGTGTATTGTGAAAAACATCCTTACCTTTCATTTTTTGACATTTTTGCCCTTATTTCCACATTTCTTTGCTTTCACTATTTTTTTTGGTGTAAAATGACCAATATGTCATCCTATTTGAATAAAAGAAAAAAGAAAAGAAAAGAAAAAATTGCAACTATAGGCGGAACTTCTAAAAAAGTGCAAATGTGCTCCCAAAACTTCACCTTCTTCCCACATCTCACCCCCAAGCCACCGCCACTTGCCAGCCATTTTTAGCCACCTTCCGGTCAACTTGGTCGTCAGACCAACATACCAACTTGAAGCCCTCACTTTTCTCTTCACAGCCCACCCAACCACTGGCCGAAAATCTAAAAGAATTGGCCGAAAAATCACGCCAAAATAGGCTGCCTACGCAACTTCAATAGCAAAATCGACAAATTCAACTCCATTTTTCGACGTCGACGTTATGATCGACGATGGCAGACCACTCCTCCTAGTTTCGCCTCTTCAAGGAGAACCTAATGAATCTATGGGTCATCGTCAATTTTGGCCAGAAATTGTAGAAACAACCTTGACAGTTCGTACACAAAAAACTCAGCCGATTCCGTTTCGATTGATGATGCTACAGGGCTTCAATCCACCAATTCTAGCATGTAATCGTTAACTAATACTATCACAACTATGGGTCCTCCATCAATTGCATCAATTCATCAACCAAACGATCAATTTTCAAGATTGAACTCAAGAACTACCGACCAAACGCGAACTCCAATTTTCTGGTTGTAGATTTTGATTTTCAGCTTTGTTTGATGATATGAAGACATCTAGAGGAGCGCAATGATGAGCATAATCGACCTGGAGAATGGGTGTGCCATAGATATCATTAGAAATGGAGTTTCCGACCTTCATTTTTGGCCGTTTCATGTTGTGTGGGCAACCTATTTTGGTGCAATTTTCCAGTCAATTCCCTTATATTTTCGGCCAGTGGTTGGGTGGGTTGTGAAGAGGGAAGTGAGGGCTTCAAGTTGGTATGTTTGTCCGGCTGCCAAGCTAATTGGAAGTGGCTGAAAATGGCCGACAAGTGGCGGTGGCGTCGGGGTGAGGTGTGGGAAGAAAGTGAAGTTTTGGGAGAGGGCATTTGAACTTTTTTAGAAGTTTCGCCTATTGTTGCAATTTTTTCTTTGCTTTTCATTTTTCTTTTATTTAAATAGGAGGGTATATTGGTCATTTTGCACCCCAAAAACAGTGAAAAAGACCTTCAACGCAAAGAAATGTGAAAATAAGGGCAAAAATGTCAAAAATGAAAGGTAGAGACGTTTTCCATAATAAATCCGAAAGGTAAGGACGTTTTGTACCAATTACCCTTGTTAAAAATAATAAAACAACGTTTGATAAGGCCAAATGTAGACTGCATTCTTTTTCTTTTCATCAGGATTTCCATACTTATTTATACAAAAATAAATAAATAAATTGACATATTGTTGTAGGTCATTTGGGAATTATAAAAGTTCGCTTTGAAAGTGTTTATAAACGATTTAAGTTTTAAATGATTAATACTTATGAATTCATCGGCGCGAGTATTTAAAAACACGCGCCAAACATAGTCTAATATACTTTGCATTATTGTGCCATAAATTGGCGAGACTAATCGACATGAGAAAAGCTATATAGTAATATTGGTCTTAAAATATCAATCTAAATGACACTAACGTGATATTAAATAATAGGTACAATTAATTGAATCGCTTAATTATACATTTCATTGAGCCTACTATATAGCGTCACCTAAATTAATGTTCCAATATCATTGATTTTAGATAGCATTTTTCCTTCGACATAGACTGATAATCCTTTTGACCTTGTCAACAAAATCAATTTATGCTTTCGTGTGAATCAAAATTTAATTAACAATAAATTCAATTTTCAACCAAACTTTCAGTCGTAGACTACCTTATCATCGAACGACGGACCCACACTAATTCACATAGTCAAAAAGAAATATTTGTACATTGAAAAAATTAGGTTTGTAATATTATTTACGTTTCGTACTTAGTACATATGAACAATGCCATTAATTATTGGGCTAAAGGAAAGTAACAGATAGACACGCACCACATCACTAAAACCTAGCAATTTCTTGTATCTTTCTTCAATCTCTCATTAATTCATCATCTACCCATCTCACCAAATTAACCCCTTTTCACAAATTTAACTGAAAAAGGTCAAAAAAGATTTGGGATTATTATATATAGCACGAATTCTGCACGCAATCTAAACCCAAAGGCCAAGAAAAATTTAACAAAACTAAAGGGCTCTGTCTAGAATTTTCTTGGAGATCGAAAGAAGCAGATCTGAAACCATGGGTGGAGGCAATGCACAGAAATCCAAGATGGCTCGTGAAAAGAATTTGGAAAAGATGAAGGCCGCCGGAAAAGGTATGTGATTCTATTTTTTTTTTTTTTTCTTTTTTTTTTTTCTGAGATCAAATAGGGAATTTATTGATTTGAATAGGATTTAATCTGATGAAAAGGTTGTGATTTTTTCACTCAGGGAGTCAGCTTGAATCCAACAAAAAGGCCATGACGATCCAGGTTTAGATTATATATTTTTTCTTCATAATTTTTATTTTGTCTTTCTGATTTACTTAGGATTTTTTTGTTGATTTTTTTATTAACAATAAATTTTCAGTATGTTGTATATGAAACTTGCAATAATTTTCCTTCATTGTTTTAGTGTTTTGCTTAATTAAAGTATATTTTCCAAGATTGTTTACTCTTTAAGAAGTTTCGATTTTGCTATTCAATTTTGGAAAAGGAGAGGCAAACCGATTTAGGATTTTTCTTGGCGAACACAAGACTAATTTTTCTGTTTTAACTAAAGGAAATTAATGTTTGCATTTTAAATTTAACTTGCTATAGTTTGAATATTCATGACACGAAAACAATTAGAAGTTAAAACTTAAAAATGCCTCATTTTTATGGGGATTTTTTTTTTTTAAATTTAAATTAGAGGGTTTGAAACTTGCTCAACATCTTCTTTATCTGAGAAAGAGTGCAGCTTCTTTTGATTGGATAATAGCTTTCGGTTTTCGGAAATAGAGTGAACAAGACCAATACGCTGATTACAAATTGAGCTATGCTGCAAAAGATAAAAACAATCTTTTGTATGGGAACTTTTAAAAAAATTTATGGTTTTGAATTCATTTATGTGTTGAGTTGAGTTGAGTTGACGCTATACTTGACACAGACGAGAGCTTTCACGTGGAAATCTATGTTTAACTGGTTTGCTTTAAATATTGGGATCTAAATAGAGCAAGCTTCAGGTAGTCAAGATATTCATTTTATCTTTTGTTCATGAATATAAGTGCACAAGATTTTCGATGATTATGCATTTTTGTATGCAGGCTATGTTGATACCTCCACTGCAATCCTCCATCTTTTGATTGATTTTCACTTCTTCAATTATTATCTCTTTCTCCCTTTTTGTGCTGTACTCTGTATCTCATTTAGCTCCTTAGGTGCAAGCTATAAAGTTCCATATTTGAGCATCTTATTTTCTCCACTATATTTCAAACTCCAAAGCTACAAAGAAAGGAGAGTTTACTTTTACGATATGGTGATAGTCTGAATCACCTGTATTTGTACACTTTCAATAAAAAAAAAAAAAACCATCACAGTGGGTGGAACTGGTTCGACTATCATTCCTGCTGAGCCTTGCTCCCTCCCATTGGGCGTACCCACATGCACTAGAAGATTAGAATGGTCATCTACACTATATGAACCGCTATATGTAAGAATTACCAGTGCGACGCAGAATTTTCCCGCTATAAAAGAAGTCATCTTGTGCTTAAGTTTATGATGCATGCTTGTGATCAATGGTATTTATTATCGATTCTCTAACGCTTGGCAGTTGTGAATTGCAGTGCAAGGTGTGCATGCAGACATTTATCTGCACTACTTCAGAGGTGAAATGCAGGGAACATGCTGAAGCAAAGCACCCCAAAGCTGATGTCTATGCTTGTTTTCCTCATCTTAAGAAATGATGATTTCCAGTTAAAGTAAACATCAAATGTGATTTTCAACAGTGTCTCCTATCTGTCATGTGATTTGGGTCGGACCGGTTCCATTGTTTCTATTGAAATATTGTTCCAAACTGTTGTTGGTTACTTGAAACTCTTAAATATGTTTATAATATCTATGCTGTTCACTTTTAGATCGTTTTATTAAACTGGTTTGTGAAGTATGATTGGCGGCTCCCAGAATCTTTTGGTTTAGTGGTGCCAGTTTTAATCTTCTGTCCTCATTGCCATGTCTCCTTGGCTGTCCTCTGGGTAAAATTTTGACAATTCATTACATCAAACTCTTGTTAGCATATAGCAAGACACTATTGTAGCATATTCTGTGATGCCCTGCCAGCTATTTGCTACAATGGTTGAGGTTCAAATGTTATAGTGGAGGACAGCCAAAGAGATCAAGAAATGACGACTGTGGATCTCAAGTCCTCACTAATAAAGTGGGATATTTTGATCACCTTTTCCTCTCACCCTTCCTCAGCTCTCTAGTTCAGGAAGGGTAAACACGATGATCTTACCTTGAAGCAATCTCTGGACTTTTTCCTTATCCGAATGGGTCTTTGGCCCTGAATTGCACGTGCGAGTTCCCCCTGTGGATGAGTTTGAAAAATCATTACGAAAGAGTTACCACCTTATAGCAATGATATACAAATAACTAAAGTAATGTCGTAACATTGACTAATTTTCACATATTGGTAGTGCTCCGATCTCAACTCTACAATGGGCGTTTGGATTGAAGACCCCAGCGTCATAGACGGTTCTAAAAAGCACATAGGCCCGACCCGGGTGAAATCTCACCCCTTGTTAGTGAGTCTGATATTAAGCAGTCAACTGTCGAGTTGAACGGTTAATGCACAACTAGTCGTACTTTATTAAATCCTTTTCCCCTTTTTTAAGAACACTAGTCAATGTTGAATGTGCATTGAACGTTATTCTAAAATATTTTATAAGTGATATAAAAATAATATCTAATATCCATTTGTTTGAAAATTTGATGAGTGTCGGACGAATTAAAGAACATAAAATTTACATAGAAATTTCATAGAATAAAATTGTACTCAAATTGTATATTCAAAACTTAATTTTTATGATTCAAATTTTTAGTAATGATGAATACTACAAATAAGCAATCTTTTTTATATTACGTTTGATACATAAAAATTAATTGTTAATACATAAATTTAATTTAAGGGAAAATTGCAGCAAGGGTTCCAACCCTTTTCAATTTTTGCATACTTTACTATAACCTTCATTTTGTGCTAATAAAGATCCTAACATTTCATAAATATACAGTTGAAGTCCTGATGGATGAAATCAATCTATTTGACCTTTAGATGACTAAAAAAGTCAAAATTTGACAATTTGAACCAAATTAGAAAGGGCAAAATAGTACTTTTCATTTTTTTCATATTAAATAAATTAATTAATTAAATAAAAACCCCAAAAAATAAAAATAAATATACCCCATCCCAATCCTTTCTTCTCCGATGGGGCCTACCAGAAACCATCGCCACCGTCGCCTTTTCTCCGACGAGACCTACCATAAGCTGCCACCATCATAATCAAACCAAAACCAACCACAAAAAATTACAACATATTCTAACCTCGAAATCAATTTTCTAATTTCAATCACAATTGATGGCAAAATTTTTTTCCAAATATTCATCTTAACACCAGATCCGAACGGTACATTTTCTTTTAAAAAGCAAGATATCCCATCCTGATTAAAACCCAATTAGAATAGAGGGAATCAAACACACTCTTCACAGCCAAAGGACTCGTCAAAGTGTAGAGGTACTGTAACTGAAGACCCCTTGAAATATGAAGCCATTTCAAAATCAAGCAAGAGTAAAGATAGCCAGAGGAAGACTTTAATGTAGGAGTAAAATCGAGACTTGACTGTCGGGGTAAGGGAGAAGAAAGTGGATGCAATGGAAGTGAGGCAACCTGCCTTGTGGGCTTTCAAGAGGAGAACCCATGTTAATTGCTTGGCGTTCTTGTTTCGGCCTCCTTTGGGAAGATTCCAACACAGATCTGAATGATACAATTTCTTTAGAAGATTTTTGTCTCCAATTGTTAGGGCTTGCTGCTACTATCCATTTTCTTTTAGGGTTAGAAAATGCGGATGGTGTTTGAGGTGTAGCATATTTCCGAAGGTGGAGGTGGCGGCTGTTTCCATTAGCTGTCGTTGGAGAAGAAAGACCCCAATGGATTTTGATTTGAGCGAAGAGGGAAAAAGATGGGGTGGAGGAGAGCGGGGTTATATATTTATTTTTATTTTTTGGGGTTTTTAATTTAATTCTTTACTTATTTAATATGATAAAAATGAAAAGTACTATTATACCCTTTTTAATTTCGTCCAAATTGGTTTTGACTTCTATAGTCAACTAACAGTCAAATGGATAAATTCTATCTATTTGGACTTCAATTGCATATTTATGAAAAGTTAGGAACCTTCACTGATACAAAATGAAGGTTAGGGTAAAGTCTGTAAAAATTGAAAAGGTTTGGAACCGCTGTTGTAATAACACCAATTAAATTTCTAGATACATGAATATGAATAATTCCATCTATAATTATGTAAAAATGTATTATTGAAATAATTAAATTGTAGGGAGGTTAAAATCATCTAAAAAATAATTCTCCATTGATGTGATACTTTAATATATTATAAATTATAGATATAATAGCTCTAAATTCATATAATTCAAAATTCATCAAGTTAATATTCATTGAATTTAGATTAATATGAATGTTAATTAATTGAAAATTAATAATACAAATTTCATAAACGACAATAATTATGTAGTATTTATTATATATTGAAAAACAAAAGTAAATTATTATTGAAATATTGGAATTGTAGGGGGTTTAAATCGTCCAAAATTTGATTTTCTTGTTGTGATATTTTAATATATTATAGATTTAATTCGACTTTTAGTTTCAAGTTTTTCCGTTGAAATTTTATAATTGACTAAATGTAGAAATTATTAAGTAAATAATTTTTTTTAATTATAATCTTAGATGTTTGATATGTATTATTTTTAATTATTAAATAATTTTTGGAATGTTTAAAAATTAAAAATAATATTAAAAAAAAAAGGTTTTTTTATCACTTAACCTCCTCTTCTAGTCACGCTTTACGTTTTTTAGAACACATATTATAGATATGTATGCAAGTATGTTCGATAATTTGGATTACCTAATCTTGTTTAGTGTTGTCATTACTTACATGCCCTACATGTTCAAACAGCTTAGTGGCAGTAGAGCTTTTCTACGATAAATCTGCATTCAATCTTGAATCACGACATGAGCTATACCAAATCGGACAAACATAACTCGTAACTATATTAATAACTATAATGCTGCGATTGCTAAAACACAAACCAAGACGAATCATCAGAGGATCTGCAAACTGTAACATTTGGCATTTCATTCATAAGAGCACAGAAAATACGATATCTTTGTAATGATGACAGAGTTAGGTAAATGCTAACAGAAAAATAATTGTAAACCCATAAAGCTGTTTAGCAACTACCATCTTCAGAACATGGAAATTCCAGACTTCATTATGTTACTTAGACATGTAAAAGAGTACAAGTCTACTGAGTCCGCATTCTACTATTTTCAGCAGCCCTCACTTGAATAAAGTATGGATGAGCCTGGGATAAGATCAAGAGTGCTTTAGAAATTTTTATTCAGCCAAATAATAGCTAAAAAAGGTGAATTTATTCCGCAGCAGCAGACATGTGATGAAGTGAAGCTTAACAGTACTTTAAACAGTCGTCTGTAAAATTTTTGATCTTCAATAGTGTAATGCCAAAACCTAGTGCAATGCAAGTGTATAATTCCATTTTGATCCAAGAATGAAAAGCCCAACTCAAAAATTTGAATAAAAAACCAAGATGGCAAGAGAAAGAGAGACCAATTGCAGGCATACAAGTACAAGAACTGTGAGATTGCAGGCACCTGAATTCTGGAGCTAAAACCCGCTGTGATAAAGGGTTCTGCCAATGAAGTAGGTGATAAAGAAAGGACGAGAAATATCACCCTCATTTATTCAAAAAATATGCGGATAAAATGACAGACGGGAGTGAATTATCGATGCAACAAAATGGAAAACTACGCAAAGCATGCAATCGAAAGCTATATATTGCACATTCTTGATGAGAAACAGCTGAAATAGAAAAATTGAAAATAACTTGTTGATTATGCGTTCCATTATTAGATTGATCATCTAGGAAGATATGGAAAGGCTGTCAGAAATCAAGACCAATGAAAAGATATTTCTTGGAAGCAAAGTGAGGCTTAGGCATGGGAAACTCCACATATTCTCCAACTGCAAGAAAATGGAAAAAAGTTAAGACACAAAAATTTACCATTGCTTCTTTAGCTGTTAGCCTATCTTGATGATCATACTGGAGAAGCTTATCAAGAAAATCAATGGCCTGCACATGACATTAGAAGAAATCGGATAAATCAACAGTGATGTTGTACATGATGACCAAGGACGAAAAATTTTTGGGAAAAAAAGAAAAAAAAATAGCCATAGGTCTATAAATGAATGACCTCAGGGGAAACGAGATGCTGATTATTTGAATTGATAAATCTAGACCAGGGCTTCCTGCTGTGCCTGGGAGTGAAGCAGCATTGTTAGTTTCTTATTATTTCCCAAGATAGAGACAAATTAGGATGTTTGCAGATCAATTCCAGTTATCAAGAAAAAGTAAATGAGAGATGAGACTCAAATTCTACAAGCTGTCTCTTTTGATAACTTTTCTTTGCATTCTTATCTCATTGTATTTCCAGCTAGGTTCTGCAGTGGGCATGGAGACAAATCATATTCTAGTAGATACCTTCCAACAAGAGCATCAAGTTGAGGATCCAGTTCAAGATGATATTTATTCAAATATGCGTTCAACTCATCTGTACCGAGCACCTGTAATCACAAATCATACCATCTAGTCTGTATTACCTAAAAAATAAAAAAAAATAAAAAAAAAAAAACAATAACCACATATTGGAAAATTCAGTTTGTGGTACGCAATCCATACGCCCAAAAAAAAGTTCTACGGATTTCTGTGGTGAAAACAAGTACTAGTACAGAAAGAACCCAAAACCTAATTCATTGGAGCTCATAATAAAATAAATGACTACAAATTTTAATCAAAGATATGCCAATTATCAACAGGAAGTTTAAATTTATGCAATTCAGGCAATTTGTGAATGAAAAATTCAGTCCTATAATCATGATTTTCGAAAAGTACAGAACCAATTTGCAGTTTAAGCCCATCCCATCCACAATCTGAAATCCTATTGCTGTATTGAAGTATTAGGCTCTGTCATGCATGAAGTAGACCAGATAACATTGTTTGCAAAAACACTCAGGATTGGGTCTACAAGATACCTTATAAATGTGGATTTTCCAAGATGATAAAATCAGTGAATTTGGAAACTTGAATTTTTTAGCTTAGCATTATTGGTCCTTAATATTTCCAGTTTCCCATTCTGCAAGTTATGAATTGGTAATAACTTCCATACTTCAAGATTTTACAGAAAACAATCATAAATAGTGTAAGTAATGATATATTCTTCCATAAAAAATATGGGGTCCCAAACAGATATTGAAGATGCTATATCACGCACATCCAGATAGATTCACCAAACCAAGGTTCATCTAGTTTAGCGATAAGGACGTGTAGACAGTTCCAAAAGCTTCCAAAGCAAGAGGCAAAGATACATGTAAAGAGAGGGAAAACTCAATTAATTTCTGTAACCACTTAGGGTATAACTCACTTTTATTACGGCTTGTAAGGGGAGGTGTCCAAAGTACATATAAACTCACAATGCAAGTCTTTCACCTGCGGTGTGGGATACAATTAAATTGTAACATTCCACTTCTACTCAAAACTGACATCCACGGCAGCCATTTTTCCTAGCTTGTTAACTCCACAAAATTAGTCTTCTATTGGAAATAATCCTCCTTGGGTCACCTTGTCTGCAACAAGGGCCCTCAAGAAGGTGCCAAGTGTGATACAAATTGCAACAACCACTTTGAATAGAATTTACCCTTAAAACCGACTTAAAAGGGGAGGATGTCCAAAGTCCTTATGAACCCACATGGCAAGCCTTCCGTGAACGATGTGGGATACAATTATATCATTTTCTTATTCATATTCACCACCATTTAGGCATCCATATTGTGAATCCTACTTAAAGAGTTCTTTGACAACAAGAAAGAACGTCTCTTTTTCTATCTAAGAGGAGTTTTAGATTCCTTAAACGAAGTTTAAACATCTCAAAACTCATTATAGAGATCAAATTGTCAAGAAAGATGTTTGTACCAGGCAAAGGAGCTCAAGTACTGGAATATAATGAAACTACCCAAGTTAAGGAAGACACGGACGTATAAAACATATAATGGGCATCCGCAACATATTATGTATAGACATGGACACGTGTGTTTGACATATGCCAACAGGTGATCTTTAAAAAAAAAAAAAAAAGTATTTACAAAAACGTCACTGACACTTTGCTTAAATTCTTTATAATTATTCATTTATCTTATTATTAATTTTTCTGGTTGAAATATATTAAATATTAGTACTTATTTATTATTTAATCATAATATTGAGTTAAAAATATATAATATGGGAAAGTGTCCAACCAAACCAAGGTTATCGACGTCCTACATGTTAACAAATGAATGAGAACATGTTTAGCCCAAATTATTCGAAATTTCTCCAAAGTGATGTTATATTTGCATTTCACTACTCATGCTTCTTAATGTTCAAATTATCTGGAAATTAATTGCCTTTGAACATGAACCTTCAAAATTGTCTCAATCTGCTACTTTATTGTTTTTGCTACATAAATTGTTCTGTTCTAAACAAAGCTTGCATTGCAGAAAATCTTTAGGAAAACCCTTCATGTCAATGAAGTAAACAATTATGCATTCATTGAGATCATTTGTGAATTCGAGCTTCACTCTAGGGCCTGCTTGGGAATCCCCCCCACAAAAACTAATTTTGAACGATTTTTCGTAACAGCTTTTATGAAAGGTTGGAAAAATCGGTGCTTGCAATTTTTGTTTTTTTGGCACCAATTTTGTATAGTTTAAAATCCACCCAATATCGATTAAGTAATTTTGATAGGTTCTCTCAACCCACCAAATCAATAAATTTTGGCTATTTCTCATATTCTATTGTAATTTTCCCTTTTGAAAAACAATTATTTATAACCAACATATTTTTTTTCAAAATTAACTTGTAAATAAAAGTATATTAACTAAAAAGTATTTATAAGCAAAAAATTACAATATAATTAAAAAATTACTTATAAGCAAAGTATTATTTATACTAAAAAAACCACTCATGTAAAAATTTGTTATAAAGTAAAAATACAACTAATAATAGAAAAATTCACTTATGAAATATTAAAGTTACTCATAAGTAAAAAAAATTGCTCATGTAAAAAATATTTAAAATTAGAAAATTAACTTACGATTGTAATGTTTAATATTTAAAATTAGAAAATTAACTTACGATTGTAATGTTTACTTATAAGTAAAAAATACTAACTTTCAATTTTAAGTAAATATTAAGTTAAATACTAACTTATATGTGAAAGAAATAACCTATAAGTAAAATATAACTTAAGAGTCAAAAAATTTCATACAAGAAATTATAAACTAAAAATTTCACTAAGGAACATATATGCATTTTTATTCTTTTAAAAAACTTTCAGAACCGATGGGCAATAAACTCCCAAGCATAGGTTGGACTGTTTTAAAAACCCGTCACTAAAACCACTCAAAATCGTTCCGCTCATAAACGCTCCAAAACGGCACTTTCAAAAGGCTCATAACCGGTACTCCAAAACTCCCATGCAAGGCCCTTAATGTCTATACAAACACAATTTGAGCAGTTTCTCGTCATTTTCTGAAATATCAATGAGTTGATTACATCAAAATCCTCTTATACATTCTGTATGGTTTATTTTCACAGATTTTGTATTTTGCACTTTCCGAGGAAATCTATTTTTGTAAATGTAATTGCCTATACAATAGGTTGTTAATTGAATTATTCAAGCGTAATAAACTCAGTATTTCACTAGGAGTGAAGTGAAAGAACTCCTCCATTCTGTTTCGGAGAAGAAAGAGGATTGTTATTGTTGTTAGTTCAACCATCCAATCCGATATTGGAATAACCCACTGAATTATGATTATTGTATTGTCACTACTAGTAAATTTTTAAAGGTACCTTTGGTGTTATGGCCTATGGGTGTAAGTTTATTAAAGAAGTACTATAAATCCAGACAGCACATCTTCTGCTTCCCAATTTATGTGCAACTATGTACTCTATATCACTTATAGTTTACTAGGACATTCATTGAGCACCATAGTGCTACATCATTTGTATATTCTCCTAGATTAACACCACACAAAAACCTGGATTGGTAAATCTTTTAAAAGTATCTTACAATTGTTAATTGGCCATGTTAACAATGTTCTACTCATTAAGCTATTTTAAAATCTTGAGTAGCTGAAGCAGTTCTCTAGAAGCTGCTCTGCATCAATTTACACAACTGAAAGTTGAATATAGTTCTCAAAGCCCTATGGAGAAAACAGGTCAAGAGAACTTTTGAAAAATGACTACTCTTCAAATGTTTTAAGACACCAATCAGCACATTATTTCATCGAGTTACAGCCAGTCGAATACAGTTCTCAATTTAGGATGGTCATATGCTATATTCAAAATTACCTTGGCAATTTTGACAAGCTGATCATGGTTGTCATGGCCGTAGAAAAATGGCTCCTTCCGGAAAATCTGCTGATTAAAGGAAAATGAGAACTAGTACAGCTATAGCATTCAACTATGCAAGTTTCTTACAAGAACAGCTCTCACCATTCCAGCAAACATGCAGCCCAGGCTCCACATGTCTAAGGAATAATCATAGTCTTGCAAGTCCACAAGTAGTTCAGGCCCCTTAAAGTACCTGAATAATTGTTAAAATGGAGAAAGTTGCCAACTAAGAATCAAAAACGTAATTTAGTTGAACTCTTTATCATCATCAAAACAGATGGAATGTTTAGCATGGGCATCGAGGAGAAGAGAATAAACAAATGGATGAAAATTTAGTTCTAATCAATTAAACAAACCTTGAAGCCACTCGGACATTGTATTCTTTACCAGGATGATAGAATTCAGCCAAACCCCAATCAATTAGCCTAAGTTTTCGTAGTTCATGATCAATCATAACATTATGAGGCTTGACATCTCTATGCATTATCCCTTGTGAATGACAGTAATCTAATGCCTGCACATTCAAAAAGTAATTGATAAATTAAGCATGCTATTATCAGTGGAACATCTATGATATGACGCTAACTAGGAACGAATGAACTAGAATATTCCATGTTGAAGATTAAGATTAAACAAAAAAATGTATCCCCTCTCTAGCTTAAGTTTTAGATGGGTGGTTCAACATTGTATCAGATCACAGTCTAGGGTTCAAGTATTGCAGCTATCCACTTATGAAATTGAGCATGTAACAGGCATTTGAATAAAATATATAACTTGGAGTACACACAAGGGGCGTGTTGAAGATCAAATTTAGATAAATAAATGTAACCCTTTCTAACCACTTTGGCTTTTAGATGAGCTCGCTCAAAACTCCCGTATTGACAAGTGAACCAATAGTAACTTGAATTCATGGATCAATCAGCATACAGCTAAATATATCTTGTCAATTCTAGCATATAATCTACTTTGATGAAAGAGAATATTTTAATGCAGTTATAAACTAAAGTACTTAAAGTTTCAACATAGGAGCCTTAAAGATATTGACAAAGTTTACCAACCCAGATTGTCTGGTCAACCTCGGTTTCTGTTCAAATTAGTATACTACTATCCTGTGTTAATTTATATCACGAAAAATATAGAAAAGAATATATTAACATCCTGCACAGAGATTCAAGGCAAGAAAAGTTCAAGCCTCAAGGTCGTATGTATTGGAGATAATATATTGTAGTGAAGTAATAGCGTAAAACTGGACATCATAAGCATGTACCCACAAGCTAAAGGCAAGGTCACATGTTACTCTTAACATTTATATTGATCTAGGTGCCATTACAACTTTAAGATGGGCAGGAGGGATCAAAATAAATGTTCTTAGCTCCATTTATTTTCCAGACGTAATTATATTAATTTTGTAGGAAAACAAATTGTGTTAATTTTCACTATTTGATACAATGAACGAATACAATTTATAATATACAGAAAGTAGTAAATAAGGAAAATTCTAATCTCCTAAAAACAGTAGGAAATAAATACATATTCTATACTACAATAATTATGAAATGTAAAATATTCTCAAATCAAGTTTGGCTCCCACCCTTATTTGGTAGGATCCAGTTTCCACAAATTTCAAGAGGCTTATTCAATCACATAGATCCAGATTAAATATGCCTGTAACATAGTTATTTTATTCATTCAATTGATATTGGAAATCCAAAAGAAAATGCAGGATCTAAGTATATTGGTACTCAAGATCTAAGTCCCAGCGTCCTAGGCTTGTCCGATACAAGATCAATTCAATTTTATATTCTAATAAAAGCATGCACATACATGAATGCTGCATAAACTGACACATGCATGTGCACATCATGAAAACACACAGAAATTAGATAAAAGTAAACCTTCAGAAGCTCGTATATGTAGTAGCGTATGTCATAATCTGTCAGAGTTGGGTACAAGATTTTAAAATCTGTACTATTCACAAATTCAAAAATTAAACTAGGAGTTTTTGAGTCCGAATCCCTGACAATATCAAGCAGTTTCACAATATTTGGACCTCCACAGAGATTCTGAAGTATTTTTATCTCCCTCTTTATCTGCACAGTTTCAAATTATACTGAAAATCAGTATGTGTAGCAATTTAATATATTAAGCCACCAAAGGAATAGTACATGAATCAACAAATGCAAATGAAAAGAGCAACCCAAAATATTAAGCCATCAAAGGCAGAGCAGGTGTCAAAACACGTCAGAGAGAAACCAAGTTTTTCCAAAAGATGCTTATGATATGTACAGAATCTAGTGATTAATTATGATTAATCATGATTGATGTATAATTGATTATGATTGGTGATGATTGACAAATGATTGATCATGGTTAATATATAATTAATCATGATTGATATATAATTGATTAAATCTTCCCATAACTTAGGCGGATTGTTAGGCTAATTTCTTGTATCCTAAATTAGAAAATTATTTTTTCCCTTTTTATTTTTATTGTTGTACTATAAATAGGGTGTAATAGGTTTATACAATCCAATGAAGAAATATAGAAAATTCTTATTTCATTCTTCATGGTATCAGAGCTAGTTTTCTCCTAAATTGAGCTAACAATGGAGGACGCTTTTGTCAATAGATAGGAATCGGTGACTTTGGGAATTCGAGCGAGTCAAACCGAAAAACAGCAGTAAGAAAAAACTACTCAGTCCACTCTAGGCAGCAACACTCCAAATTCAGGTCAATTAGAAAAGATCACGGAGATGATTGTTACCCCTCAATCCTTTGGTTAGTCATCAAAAAACATTCCTTCTGGTTCCTTAGCCCATACAAGTAATCCCTTAAAAGCCTTAACCACCTCCCATACTCATGCTCCCTGGATTATAGATTCGGAAGCATCTAACCATATGTCTGAATCTTATCATCTATTTTCAACGTATTCAATGAATACAATAGGATTTATGGCTACACAAACTCTTGAGAATAGTTCTAGATATGGTCCAAGACGGTGCTCTGACCAATTGAACTACAATCCCAGGGAAATAAGGGATCTAACAGAAAATTTATTCACCATGTGCGAGAAATACGAAAGTAAAAATTGTAGATGGATCCCTTTCTCCTGTTGTAGGCAAAGGACGTATCTGTATCTCCGATTCTATCACTTTAAACTCAGTTTTCCAGGTTCCAAAATTATCTGGTAATTTGTTGTCTATAAGTCAGCAAACTAAACACTCTAACTGCTTTACTAAATTTCTTTCCTCTCATTGTGTCTTTTAAGACCTGTCATCCTGAACGATGATTGACAGTGCAAAGAGTGTGAAGGACTCTACTACTTTGAACAGGCTAAAGTGAGTAACCAGTGTCAAAATGCTACATGTGATTCTGTTTTTTCCCTCTAAGAATAGTAGACTCCTGTTAAGGCATTCTAGGATGGGTCATCCTAATTTTCAGTATTTGCGACATTTATTTCCTACTCTTTGTTCCAATAAATTGTCTCTTGATATTCAATGTGAAGTGCATGAACTTGCAAAGCATCATCGTAGTTCATTTCCAAAGTCTACATACAAACCCACTAAGCCATTCACTATGATTCACAATAATGTTTGGGGTCCTTCTCATATTCCTAGTTGAACATGCACAAAAATGGATATCACATTCATAGATGATCATACAAAACTTTGTTAAGTCTATTTACTGAAAGATAAAACCGAAGTTCGTTATGTTTTATCAATTTTCACTCTATGATTCAAACGCAATTCAACACCAAAATACAAATTTTATGTTCCGACAATGATACTGAATATTTCAATTAGTGTTTGAGTCTTTATCTTCATGAACATGGCATCATCCACCAGAGTTCATGTGTCAACACCCTCAACAAAATGAGATTGCCGAACGAAAAAATAGATACATCCTTGATGTAGCTCGTGCCCTAATGTTCACTACTAACATGCCAAATTTTTTTTGAGACTATGCTATCTTGATTGCAACCTATCTCATAAACAGAATGCCTAGTCAAGTCCTTTCATTTATCACCCCTCTTCAAAAATCTCAAGATGTCTTTCCTTACTCTCAACTTAGTTCCACTCTTCCAATTAAAATCTTTGGCTGTCCAGCATTTGTACATGTCCATACACACTAGCAAACTAAACTAGAACCTTGAGCCATAAAATGTGTTTTTTTTATTATTATTCACCTACTCAAAAAGGTTACAAGTGCTATGATCCCATATCACATTGCACCTTTGTTATCTAGATGCAACATTCTTTGAAACCACTCCTTTCTACCCGAAGTCCTCGATTCAGGGAGAGAATTTAATTGAATCTTAGATCTCAAATCACTCGACCGGTGACCCTCTTTTCTTTGATTTTTCCCCAAACACTAATTGTATCACACCATCATCATCCTCCACTCCTTTAGCGGTTACAGAAAGAAGCTTACACTCAGAGGAATGTGTAGAAAAATAGCAAAATAAAGAGGTACTGGTTTACTCACGAAAGCCAAAGTCAAAGCCTAATGAAAATCTCACACCTGAGGTACTGATTGTGTCTGAGTCGGTGGCAACTCCACACAACCAAGAGTCTTTCCCTTGGTCAGATCAAGTAATAGAACCTCTCTAATACTCCTAAATCTGATGATATTGATTTATCTATTGCACTCAGAAAACAACCTCGTTCATGTACTCTCCATCTGATTTCAAAATATGTATCCTATAATGCATTGTCCACAGAGTATCGTGCTCTTACTTCTTAACTTGATAGTGTGAAAATTCCTAAGAATATCCAGGAGGCATTGAAGATTCTTGAGTAGAGAGAAGCTATAATGGAGGAAATGAGGGCGTTGAAAAAAATGAAACTTAGGAGGTGATGAATTTACCACATGGGAAGAGAACAGTGGGTTGCAAATAGGTGTTTACTATGAAGTACATAGTTGATGGGACGGTAGAAAGGTATAAGGCTCATCTTGTTTATTGTCAGGGACAACCAAATTACACTATGTTCTACTAGCAGAAAAATGGGAAGAATATAATTTTTATTGTACATGTGGACAACATCATCCTAACTGGAGATAATATCAAGGAGATGGAAAGATTGAAGAAGGTCTTAACCGTTGAATTTTGAATTTAAGGATATGGAACAAGTGTGGAACTTTTTGGGAATGGAGTGGCTAGATCGAAGAAAGGGATCAGTGTCTCTCAGCGAAAATATGTCCTTGACCTCTTAACTAAAACGAGCGTGCTCGGCTGTGAGTCGAGTGACACACCCATTGAAGTCGGAAGAAGGATGGAAGATGCAAGAAAATCAGTTGAAAATGAAAGGTATCAGAGGCATGTTGGAAAACTAATCTAATTGTCATACACTAGACTTGATATCACTTTGCGGTAACTGTGGAAAGCAAGCATATGCACTCGCCAAAAGAAGCTCACCTAGAAACTGTGTACAAGATACTAAGGTATCTTAAGGAGACTCCAAGTAAAGGTCTATTTTTCAAGAGATGTGAAAGAAGGGAAGTGGAGATCTTTACACATGCTGATTGGGCAAGTTCAGCTAAGGATAGAAGGTCTATTACTGGATAATGCACTTTTGTGTAAGAAAACCTAGTCACTTGGAGAAGTAAAAAACAAAATATAGTAGCCAGTAGCAGTGCTGAGACTGAGTTCACAGATGTTGCACAAGAGATATGTAAAGGATTGTGGTTAAAAAAAACTTTTAGAAGAACTACATACCGCAACAAGATTATCGAGCAAGCTTTGTTGTGAATTTCTCTCAATCCCGTTTAACATGACCGAACTAAGAATGTAGAAGTAGATAAACATTTCATCAAAGAAAAGATGGATGATGGAGTTATTTGTATGATCTACGTTCCTACAAAAGAACAAACTGAGGACATTTTCACAAAGGATTACCAAGGCACAATTTTGATGATTTCGTCTGCAAGTTGGCTATGATCAACATCTACGATCCAACTTAATGGGAGTATAGAAACTAGTGATTAATTATGATTGATATATGATCGGTGATGATTGATTATGATTGATCATGATTGATATGCAATTGATTAAATCTTCCCATAACTTAGGCGGATTGTAACTAATTTCTTGTGTCCTAAATTAAAAGATTATTTTTTTCCTTTTTTATTTTTATTGTTGTACTATAAATAGAGTGTAATATGTATGTACAATCCAATGAAAAAATATAGAAAATTCTTATTTCATTCTTCAATATTTGAATCGGTTCGGTACGACATCCCCATCAATAAGAATTTTGGGTAAGTATCATTGACATTCTTGCAAGTTCTTCTTTCAATATAATTACTCAAAAGGATTTTCCAAGTTCCATAAAGCATCAAGAGAGGGCATGTAGCATGGGCTACATTCAACAAATGAAACCTAAAACTCTGTACAAGTTGAATTTCGACCCCTACAAAATCTTTCCTCATATAACATCATGATGATAAAAAATTTCAGTAGAACAACGATAGATCGAATGTAGTTGTGAAAAAGAACTCATGCAGCTGACCTTAAATTTATCGGGAGTAAGTAGGATGGGCATGAGGTTGGGTTGTTTGATTTTTTACCCAACCCAAACCCAACCAACATGGTCGATTTGATCTAAAATCAAACCAGCTGAACCCATTCATGTGTTTCAACCCAACCCAATCAAGTTTCGATTAGGTCAGGTTGGTTTGGTCGGTTTAGACATTAAAAATCATAAAAATATGCTTATAAAAAACTTATCATAACATAAGGCTTCCACCATGAACAAAAATTTGAAAGCATGCATGAAGGAAAATGCATATATTATACAAATTATCATCTCGCTTAAAGGAAAAAATTAGCCTAAAACCTACATTTGCAAAACATAAATGAATAATCAATTTAAAATTTAAAGTTAAGAGTACCAAAAGGAATAAAGGCCGACGATTAACGTTAAGCCTAGATGCAAATAGAGTTGGCGACGATCGACGGGCTTGAACGAGAGAGATTGAGAAAGGCCAGCATTTAGCTTTAGAGCTAGAGAGAAAGAGGAAGTACGAGAAAAATGATAAGGCATAACTAAGGCCATGAGGTTTCAACTTCTTAATTTTTACATTTGTTTTTTTCGATTTTTGAAGTAGCAGGTTGGGTTGAGTGGGTTTTATTGGCTTTGATGGATCAACCCGTAACCCAACCCAACCCATTTTCTTCTAAAAAAACCCAACCCAATAGAATTTTAAGAAAAAAACCAACCCCGACCGGTCGGTTCAATTTGGGTTGGTCGGTTTTCATGGGTTGTTTCGGTTTTTGCCACCCCTAGGAGCGAGGCTTGATTTTTCTTTTGCTGGCCCAAAAACTATTAAAATTGAACCATGTATAGTAATGTAACAAGGAAAACGTAAATATAGTCAGTGCAGACAATAGAATTCATGTATACTCAAATTTTATTGGTAGCAGAAGATCATGGAAATGACTATTTCCACTTGGTTTTCATAAGAGATGGGTTTATCAAGTGATGGATATATTCATGCAATTTACCGACCAGGGAACAATGTTAAAATATAAACAGTAAAATCATGAATATTACATTCTAGTTTCTACAGTTGAGCCACAGAAATTCAGAAAATTACCTTTTTCTTTTTGACTGGCTTAAGAATTTTGATGATGCATTTTTCATTGTTTGCAATATTAATACCTTCAAAGACCTCACTGTATTTTCCCCTTCCAACTTTCCGAACAACCTCATAGTCATCTTGTTCACTGAATACACAGAAAACAAATTAGTCCATTACACTGAAAACTCATTTATCAAGCACATCTAGGAAAAAAGAAAGGTATCCACTGCTAAAAGACATGTAGTTGCAACAGCCAAAATAATATGAAATGTTCATAAATTAGCATAACTGTAGCAGTGTAAGGATTAGTGCCCTGAAAGCATAAGTTATGTACTAGAACATTTTTTGATCAATAAATAAATTAGATTTATTAATTAGTTTTTCTATATCATATTAAGCCCCTTGTTGACAACCATTAAAATGAGTTTTTTTGGGGAAAATGAGTTTTGGATTGGTGATTTTTTGGAGAATGTACGGTTAAACGGTAGGAAAAAGATTTGAGTTTAAATGCAGATTTTTTTTTTTGTTAGAATGTGTGGTTGAAAATGAGATAGAGAAAAAAAGAGTATTGTTTTAATGGTTGTCAAATAGGGGTTACATAATGAGAAAAAATCATAAAAGCCCTCTGGTTGTTCTAATTGTTAGAATTATGGATATAAATCATTTATATAAAATACAATGCATACCTTAAAATATTAGTCCATGACTAGTGAATAAAGCTGGGCACTTTATTCTGTAAGGTCACACTATTGTCCACTCGCAATGGAGTGAATGTTTTATCTTAACCATCAAAGTGGCGACTTCTGGAGATACTACTGCATATGACAAGCACTGGACTAGTGTAACTTAATTAGCTTAAGAACTGTTGAATGAATTAAATTTTACTACATTATATACCCTATCTTAATCTAGAGAGGGTAATGAACTCGTATCTGTCATTGTATTTGAGGCATGAAAGCTTGAAATTATAATGAGATTAACACTTGAATAGTCGGGATTTAAGAGTATGAGAGAGATTATTAAAAACAGTTAAAGATAATATTTATATGATATGCATTTGACCTTATCTAACAACTTAAATTTTTTGATGCAGTGATTCAATGTGATAAATCAAAACAAGTAAACGTCTGAGTTCAACATTCGCTGGCACCATTTATTCAAATTGTGGACAAGGCTTTAATGAAAAAATAAACAAATCTCACCTATACGTGAGGAGGCATTTGAATATTATATTTAAATGATCTAAAATTTGACCTCATCTATCATCTTTAACTTTTAGATCAAATGACTGGACAAGAATATATAATCATAGTATTGAATCCATCATTCTCTAGCAAGAGGCAAGCGATTCCTTGGATAATTTTCACTATTCAAATAAATCTGAGCACTTCTCAATTAAATAAAATGTATATTGAATTAGTGTAGTTGTGATTAGATCACAAACCTATTATAACATTAGAGAAAAAAATTTAACATGTGGCCTTTGGAGAAAATAAAAATGGTGGGACAAAACGGTAATTTTATTCTGTCCGATGATGAGAATTGGATGGCAATAGAACACTGGCATGTAGATCTGAGCCTCTGCAGTCTTTTAGTCAAATAATAAATATTACTGAGTTCCTATGCTTTTTAATAATTCAAGAGTTTGGGAGTGACTCAATATTAATAGATTGAAATCAGTTCGCCACGAGTTTACGAGGATTGAACTCAGACCATGGAAACTTGAATTATAAGTCTATTAGGTCCCCTGAATAACTCTAATTAACTCAGGGCGATATTGGTATAATTTTTCTATTGTAGGTTTCCAAGCATGAGACAGAATGAAACAGGGACAAAGAGGAAAGGGGTCTTGGGACTGTGCATGGGTATATAATGAACACAAGGGCATGACCTCCCTACCTAGTGCAAAGAGTTGCCCCCTCTTTCTTTTGCACAGTGAGACCCCTGGGTGTATATTGAATCCAACCAAATCCGAGTTATTTGTCAAGGAAAATTGTCAACACACTTGTGCAAACAGGCTTAGCAGAATATTCAGAAAGGCTTAGTGGTTGGAGGTACGAATCAGATTCAAACAAGCTAAGATTCTTCTGGGCTACCAAGGCCACAATAGAGTAGTTAAGTTTAATTATAAGGCTAAGTCAAGGTAATATTGCTGGATTTGAACGCGTAATTGGTTAAATTATTTTAATTGTTCACATTTTCGCTCTCCTAGATCTCTCGAGTTTCATATCGAGCAACCAGATAGCAACAAAGTAGAAAATTTATAGCCGGCTAACAATCAAAGTTTCCGACAAATGTACGAGTAAGGTTTGTGTAAGATCTCATCTTTCTAGGATAAATATATCATATATTCAACAACACTTTCATTGATACCATGACTTTAGAGCGAAGAAAAAATTGTTTAGAGGTAACACAATAGGTGTGAGCGTTTATTACAGTAATTACTTCAAACCTGGAAGGTGGAACCTAGATAGCAGCTTTTCAATTATGAATTAAATACATGAATAAAGGATGTGGTACATAACAATGAAAAGCATAAAATCCTTTACGAAATCATTATTTGATTAAGAATGGGAAAATAAGATGGAGACACCCAACCAAAGACTAATAGACTGATATTTTTAATTAAAACAAATATAAAAGAAAATAAATAGCAAAAAGAAAGGCAAAGAAAAGGAAATACATAGCAAAATCATCCTCCAACAAGCTGTTAAAAACTTCCTGCAATCCCTCCCACCATGTGCAACTCCATTTACACCCCCGCACCGCTGTCTACAACACCCAAACCATTCTGCATCCCCCCCCCCCTCTTTCATGTCATTCTGCCTTCCCCACTCTCACCATTGTCCCATTAGTTCCTATCTCCCCTTCCTACCCACCCAATCTCCCCCCATTTCCTCCAACCTGCCTCCGATGAAATTTCAGGGTGGAAGTGAAGTAGTTTTCTCATTTTTCTATTTGTTTTTCTTATTTAATTAAAAATAAGGTATAATTAACCTTTTAATTCTGCTTTGACTTTGTCAAATGGACAGAAATTGTCCATTGGAAACCCACATGCTACAAACATTGATGGTTCATATACCAAAAAATAACGGTCGAGTACTCCGAAAGCAGAAATCCCATAGGTTGGGAACCTCTGGAAAGAATTAAAGGAACATGATTTTAATTCTTTTTAAGCTACTTAGGGAGCAAAAACTCAAACAATGATTTTACTCAGAAGGAGTAACAACACCAAGTTAAATGATGACTACCTTAGGAAAGAAATAACTTCTAGGCTTAGGAAAGAAATTGATCATGTTTACAATAATAAAGTGTCTTTTTAAAAATATACTATGCAAGCATCATCATTTCAGTTTAAAGTAGAGTTTTATTTAGATTTGATTAGATTAGTTCAAGTATTAAGATAATGTTTTAGTTTATTAGTTCTTTTTATTTTAGATAGGTTGTTCAATAAAAAGACAGCATATTTCATTGTAATATTCAACCATTGAATAAGTGAATAAATTGATAACCTTTTACCCTCAATTCTTCTCTTCTTTGCACTCCTTTCCTTTCTTCATCCTCACTTATTCATTGAAAGATATACATTCCTACGTCAATTTGGTACCAGAGCAAGTTTTCTTTTTCCTTTGACTCAAATCCAGAAATCTACAAAACTTAAACAAACTGCCGTTCCCATCCAAATACACACATACTCCCAAACCATGCACAAATCCAGGGTCAGCAGCAGCAGTTTTTCCAGTTTTCATAGTTCCAAAAAAATGAGGCAGCAGAAGAAAAAACACAATTTGTTCGCTGTTTTCCTTATTTGTTGTTAGTTTTCATTCGAAAACAAGAAAATGAAGGAGGGCAATGAAGAAAAGAATTGAGGGGAAAATAAGATATCAATGTATTCATATATTTAAGAATTGAATATTACAAAGAATAAGTCCTCTCTTTATAGAGCAACTAATCAAAAATAAAAGAACTTCTAATAAACTAAAACACGATCGAAATACTTAAACTAATATAATCAAATCTAAATGGATACCCCATTATAGTGATGAGACAATGCAGGATATCTTTCCATTGATTATATCATCATTTGCACCTCTCACTAACAAATCCACCAACTTGTATGCTAAGGGAGTTAGGATAATTGATATTATGGCTCATGTAAGGTATTGTATCACCATATTGGATATAGATTGTAAACATAAGATGATTGACGTGTTCCAATATTTTCTTTTAACAATAAAGGAAACTTATCTAGGGAATATATTCACATCCATAGAGACAATTATGACCCTTATATTGGAAGAATTTGACAATATCTCTTTGGACTTGATTACCCTTCTTTGGATAGTGTGAAAAAAAAAAGAAAAGGAGGTTTGTTCTATTGCAACGAACGTGATGGAAAGATTTCGAGAAGTGAGCTAACAACATCATACCTTATTTGTCTTAATCTATAAAATCTTTAGGGTTTCTTTAGATGATTGTAGTACAATAGTTTCCCCCTTTGCATAGAGGATTAAAGTTTTGAACAGTGTATTGTGTTACCTATCTTGATCACACATGTAGTCGACACACTTTGACACTCGTATAGTTGGAAAATTACCTATAGCATTGCCACAGAAGTCAAATATTTCATGTGTCCTCGACCTCGTGCCAAAATTGATATCGCCTACTATTTTTTATGACTTTAACATTGAATTTGTGGTGGTGTTATCTCAGCTGCTTGATGCTCCACAAGTTTCCACGTTATTTTCCAAGACCATTGTTCGATTGCGTACTTTTTCTATAAATATTAAGTTGTTGCCTACTACTTTCAAGCGTATGGTGTTGCTCATCCTTGTGTTGTCAATATTCCTAAATTTCATCCGAGGATCAAAAGACAATTTATATTCGATCATGAAATGTTTTAACTTACTTTAGAAGTACAATATAAATTAGGAGACACTAATGGTAATTATTATGCTTTATTGCGTGTCTCTTTGGTCCGATTTTCTAAGCATGTGAAAAAATGATTTTGGATCATCACACTTGAATGAAAATTATATTTTCAATATAGTAGAATTATTTACTTATCGAGATACGTTCGAGCCTCCGATGCTACAATCATGTTTTTGCAGGCCGATCTACAATACTAGTCCCTTGTGTTCATAATTATGCATAACTATTTGAACGTTTTAAAATGAACGGCACGAGATTTTACTTTTTGGAGTTTGCTATTGGTACTTGGTTAAAAGGTGAGATCATTCCTTTGGTTGGAATATACTTTTGGGAATGATTTACAGCTTCAGTTATCATAAAGTGATCCTTTTTTATATTTAGTTCATAAGAAGGATCGCTCCCCTTTGGAAAAATTCGGCAACATGTTGTCAAGGGTACAATACCGACACTTGGTCAAGACAAAAGATAGACTTCATTGGACTATGAAGTTCCAGTCCACCTTATCAAAGTCGAGCACTAATGTTGGAGGTTCCGAATCAAGTGAGGCCGAGATGTTAGATAGCACGTTGATGGCATTGAAATACCATGAGACGGCGGGTCCGCACAAAGATGGAAGGTGATTGCAACCAGTGGCGAATCCAGGATGTTGAGTCAGCACGGGCGGTCGTTGACTGTGGATCGTCGACCGCCATAAAATATTAAGAGCTCGTTTGATGTCCTTTTTTTTTTTTTGCAAGAAATACATTTTGGAATAGTGATTTAATGGAAAATGTGTAGTTAAAAATAAAAAAAATTGAATTTGTGTGCAATATTATTTTATTAGCGAATGTTTGATCGAAAATAAGAGCAAGAAAAATGTATTATGAAATAAATGGGAATCAAACAAAGCTAAAATTTTAAGTAAAATAATTATTTTGCTGAAGTTGAACATATATAATTCTATTATATGAATAAATCGTACTCACCAAATGACATTGTTGCTTTGCATAATTCAAAGGATAAGAACGGCTTCAATTTTTTCCAATTGCATCAAAATCCCTAAAATCTTACATATATTGTTTTGTTAAATTTAATAGCACAACGTGGCAGTTGCCATAGTGGTCCAGCATTCAACATTTCTAAAAGTAGCCCAAGGTTCGAATATTTTCTGGTGCAATCCTTATTACAAGAATTTTTGGTAAAATTGTATAGCTAAATATGTTATACAATAAATTGAGTGGCAAAAGATTCGAACCCGGGACTCCCAAAATAACTATCCAAGCGGTAACCAACTCGACCAGGAGGAATGGACAGAATAACAACGAATTACCAGAAATATATTCTAAACCTTTATCTATTCTCAAACAAAAAAAAGGGCTCCCGACGGATCAGCACGCGCGGTCGTGGGGGCTCGCCAAGTGCTGGATCCGCCAGTGATTGCAACACTTTCCTTAATTGGGGTAATTTTGACCCTTTTTTGGTAATTGATCATAACTTTGGTTATGGTTATCGAAATCGCCATTATGACCCCAATCTGAAAAGCTTTTTTCGACGCGCACGTCATGGTCACCCAGCTATGCTCGGTGGGCATCAATTTCTAGGCCAAAATCCGCTATTTTCCCCTTCGAATTTCAATTTTTAGTTATTTTTTTCCATTATGATAATGTTTCGTTTGCCTTTTTCTAGTTGATTATGAATCCGATTTGAGCCAAATTTTTGGCAAGTTACTTCTTTTATTCCGTATTTTATTTTGGTGCGATTTTCGGGATTTTGCTATTTTTGGCAAAATTTCCACAATTTCGTATTTTCTCAGCTATTTAACCCGGCTTGTGGGTTATTTTTCATTCATTCTGAATTTAATAAAAGTTGAATTGAATTTCAAAGAATTCCATCTGTCCTTTGATATTTTCACTCGTATTCTTTCTTGAAAATCATCTGTTGCAGCTAGCCTGCAAGATACTGCAGGATAATAGCTATTCTACCCAGCGTCAAGCACTCTTGGTTAGGAAAAAATGATGGAGATAAATGAAGGAGATAGAGATAAGGATAAAGCTGGAGTTAGAATTAGAACATAATTTTAAAATAGAGTTTTATCTAAATATATCTCCTTAGATTTGATTTGACTAGATTATTCTAAGTATTTCAATAATGTTTTAGTTTATTAGAGTTCTTTTAATTTTAGAGTAGTTGCTCTATAATATTCAACCGTTGAATACATGAATAAACTGATATCTTCTTTTGTCCTCAATTTTTCTCTTCTTTGCACCCCTTTCTTTTCTTAATCTTCAATTGTTCGTTGTCACATGCGTCATATATATAGAGAAACGGGGAATTAGAAGGTATGAGAACTACTCTCCCAAGGCATTTCAAATGGGGAATTGAAGATCATGAGTTGATGAAATAAGGCAGCCTATAAAATAAAAATAAACTAGAATGTTTTTTATGTTTATTTGATTTATGTTGATCCTGGTTGCTGACAAAATAACTAGAAAGGGTCTTGAACTAATGAAAGCCTTGAGATAACTACATAAATCTAAAATATGAATAATACTCTCAATTCAGGTTATAAGGGTTGATCTGAGCCAAACTAAACCAAATTTGGGATTACTATAGCTCAACGTAGTATGTCAAGTGGACGCCAAGTAAAGTTAGAGTTTGTCTTGTTTAACTTCCAAGCCGATCTCACACAAGATTGGCAGAGCTGAGTGCTGTGGAGCTTAAACACCTTATAATTTACAAAATAATAATATCTAGATGCTACTTAATTAAGCATGAGCCAGGATACTCACAAGCTGACCTTTAAAGTCTTGGATGACACAAGAGTTACCCAAACTCAAGTGGCCTAGTTCAGTTTACAGTCTAAGTTTAAACAAACATTGAATTCTACAAATAAATTTAGGTTTCTGTGTACAAGATGGAAAATCATAATCCCATTAGATATTCATAGAAATGAATGCATTTAACTATAACGCACGCATACACACACACGCACGCACGCACACAAAATAAGAATTTAGTCTCCAGAACAATAATCCCATTCAAGCCGCAGCAGAAATAATAATGATAGAAATTCTGAAAAAAATTAGAACTTAGTTATAATCAATACATTCAAACTAATAAACCTAATAACACAGACACCAGAAAAATAAAAGAATATAACACATTTAGCAAGCTAATAACAAATGCCAAAAAAATCAAATAAACACGCTGAGGAAATCAGGCAAGAAAATAATTGGGTCTTTGGATATATTTTTACCCCCATTGAACGGTGAGAGACTCGTAATCCCAGTAATCACTAGGGCGCTGAACGTTGATGTCAGTGTAAACTCGAGCCTGCGACATAAGCTGCCCTTTCTTTGTACACAGGAGACTACCCTAGCTTGTAATTCCTTCAATTTTTTTTCAAAAATTAACCGTTCAACTCGAAGCAAAAGTGATTTTTCAAGCTTCAGTGCAAAGATGAACTGTCTTTCAGCCGTTTACGTTGGAGGAGATTTTTCAAAGATTTCATTTGAGTGGAGATTTCGTCTGCCTGCAATTTGTATATGATCATGTTAGATTTAAAAAATTAAATAATAAATAAAAATTGAAGGCTTTGTTTGGTACTCATTTAAATTAGATTTTAATTTAAGTCAAACTCAAACAATCAATATTAATCACATATTTCATGGATTCCACAAATTTTCAACCACATATTTCAAAAACTTTTATCAAAATCTACTAAAAATATAATTTTAATTCCCATCAAATTGAGGTGAAATGTAATTCATAAATTAATTTTAATTTCACTTAAATCATCCAATTTTTATTACCTTTCATGGTACATTTGGTCAACTTTATCAAAATGTACTAAAAATTTTAAGAGTGCACAGAGCATTACACCCCTACATAGAGGGAGGCCCATATAGAATAAAATATCCGTAGGCGGGTTTAACCCATCGTGTACATCACGAGATGTACAAATAATATTTCCTAAAATTTAATGTGTAACTAAACCAAACCAAGTTAAGCCTTGTTTGGCATAACTAGCACTGCCAACCATTGACTGGCATCTCACTTTAAGCCCAACGTTCAAATATTGTAATTAGCTCCAAGTTCAAACATGGACTAATTATACATTTATTTGGTCCATAAAGTTAAGAATGATTTGAAGTTATTTTCAATTTTATTTTATTTCAAGTTAGTCAATAAAGCTTCCTAACCCACTATGATCGCTATAGATGAGATTAAAGTTAAGGGGGGTGTTTGTGAGTCATTTTTATGTAAAAATGTATTTTAGAATACTAAATTGATAGGAAATGTGTGGTTGAAAAATAAAAAATAAAAAGTTTTTGATTTATGTGTAATATTATTTTAATAAAGAATGTGTGGTTAAAAAGAAGAGAGAAAAAAATGCATTTTGAAAAAAATTGGTACCAAACGGGCCTTAAATCCAATGTATAAGTTGATAAGGGTTAACACTAATGTCTACTAACTAAATATTTTCATTCACAAGCAAGCAAGATCGATGGAGCCCATAAAGTGTTTTACTTTCTATGAATTTTACTCGTTATTCGAATTTGACTTTAATAACTAAAGTCAACGAAAATGAACTTTGGAGTTTCATCTTCCTACTTTTAGCATGTCTAAGGCTTAGGTAGGGATGACAATGGGTCGAGACGGCTTTAACCTACGAGCTTGGCTCGGGCTTGTGGCTCGTGAACACGAGCTCGTGATTTTTTAATTTTTTGATAAATTTGCACATTTTAGACCTTTTTTTTAAAAAAAATCATATTTTACATGGGCTTGTCAAAATGGCTCGACTCGTGGAATTGAGTCCTTGCTCTGCTCGGGCTCGGGCTCGGGCTCGGGCTCGGGCTCATCATTTGACGAGCCCGAGCTGCCCATGAGCCGGATTTTGACGAGTTGAGCAGCCGAGCCGATGAATCGCTCGACCCATTTGACATCCTTAGGCTTAGGGGTGACAATCGAACTGAGCGGCTCGTCGACTAACATATGACTCAAGTTTGTATTTAGATGAGCCCGAGCACAAGTTGAGAGGGTCTGTGGGCTCGGCCAATGAGTCACGAGCTCGTGGGGATGGGCCGAACTCGACTCGTGCTTGAATGAGCTTGAGCTCGCTCGTGGGTAGATGGGCCGAACAGAGCTACCGCCCCTACTAAGGCTTGTTCAGCAATGAGATACATATACTATACATAGTGGAGTTAATACAGAATGACCATGTTGATAACCTCTTTTTTTTTTTTTTAAATAATAATAATAAAATAAAAATTACTGACTGATTTGGACCAAAAAAAATTCTCAGAATCAAATTGAAATTTTACAGAAACATTGAGGATCAAATATGCATTTAACCTGTTGTAATTGTTTCAGGGATTTATTGGAATCTAAAAGTAGGTCCCACGCACATATGGTGTCTGCGCATGGATCAAATTTGCTGGAATTGTTTGGGGGAATTTGGGTGTGAATTTAAGGCTCCAATTAATGTGCCAGTACGGTTGGCAACTGGACTGGATGGCGAGCCGGTACGAAAAAACCCGGTTCTGGCTGTCCACCAACTTGTTTCTTGATTGCTCAAATTTTGGCCGAGTCGAGTCCATGTTCCTTTGGAGAGCCCAAGTCATGCCTAAAGTTGTTGTAATATTTATTTTTTAATTTTTTATTGTAATATGTCACATATGTATAATTGAGTAATGTTATTTGTACTATTGTACAGATTGGTTTATATATTGATGATGTAGAAAATAGTGAAAAAAGAAGAGATAATGAAATGACAAGAAATTAGTTAATACTATTCATGTCATCAATCTGTACACCATTATATATAAGATCATTACTCTTTATAGTTGGTCATACAATTTTTTATTTGTTGTAAGAATTCAATAACTTTTAGGATTAAAAAAAAAGGGATAATACGAGTAGGCTAGCTCACTCTTGGCAAGCCCAAGCCACAATACGATTGAGCCTCACTTTTGAGAAAGCTCATGTAAGAGGAATTTGTTGATCATAATTCTATGGTCAACAAATTAGTATCGTCCATGTGAAATCAGAGTAAAGATAACCACGAATTCACTAAATGAAGGAGAAAAAATCACAGAAATCCGCAACTTGATGAAATAAGCTAAGGCAAATTAGGAAGAAGTGAAGATACTAGAAATCGGAGTTGAGGAGCACAGCATGATCCAGTTAACAGCAACATGAATCCGAACAGGAAGAGACTCCAATGAAGTTGCAAGCCATTCTCCCTCCCACTTAATGTTGTCGCCAATGTAAGAAACTATCTATGGCAAAACCATACTGGCGATGGCAGAAAGCTTCAAAGCATTGACTACGAAAAATGCTTTTCTGTGGGCAATAATAGAGGATTCAAAGATATATCTACAAGTAGAATCTAGTTAAAATGATGTAGAGCCAATAACAAGTTTTTCCATGAGAATAGTAGCAACATATGGGTATCGAAAACCTATGACAACTTATTTGATAAAAGGTGAAAAGATCGTCAAATGAGTAGATTTACTGCTTTTGATAGACTCGTGAAGGATATTGATTCTCATGATAGAAGGTGCAAGCAATTCCGTCACCATGAAGATAGAAGCGCTGAAAGTTTAATCAACTCTTCAAGGGTGGAGCCTCATATGGTCCAATGCGAACAATTATTGAACTTTGGGCCCATGCACATTCTAAGCTCCATATTTGGAATTCAATGGTGAGATGGACAATATTTGTCAACTTTTGGGACTTTTTAGGTAACTCAAAATAAATGAACTTTTGGAGGGTTTTTGGATGATTTCGTGGATCTAAGGAGTATTTTTGAAGTCTAGGATTCGAATCATTTGATGCTTTTGGTATTAAGTGATTAATTGTGGAACAAAGAAAGATTTTTTTTTTCTTTTTGGTTTTATCGATTTTAGGAAATTAATTATGGATTATGTGATTGGTGGAAAGTTTAAAAAAATTGGCAGTGAATCTTTAAAAAGCTTTATTTGGGTAATTTGATTCATTTTTTTTATGTCTCTGAATGTAAACTTTGCTCTTACGTATTCTTAGACAGCTTCCTCTTCTTTTCTAATTATTGAAAAATAGACTATTTCGCCAGTTTTAGTCACTCATCTGTGCATAAATAAGTGGAAGTTCACTTGTCATTATTGTTGAATTAGTATGTTAAAGATAAATGTAATATGCACTTGTAATATGATTGATCGAAGTTTTATCTTCCCAACTTCGTTATGATACATCTATAAATTGACAGAGTTTTTATGTAACAACGAGATATTCTAATTTTTTGTGGCAATACATCCTACTATAGAAATTTAATTTTTTGAATGAGATACATTTTTGGAGAATGATAATGAAGTTGTTGTATAATGATATCAAAGTATAAAAATTCAAAAGGAATAAGTGTAACTTATGAACTATGTCATTCTTAGTATTTTTGTGATATTGTTTTATATTTTTTTCATCATTAAATCCATCACCAAAAACTTAAAATTTGACGTCGATTAAATTGCACTAGCACTGAAAGAATTTCCTGGCTCTGCCCCTGCAACTCTTTATATTCTACTCATATATACAAGCAATATGAAGATCAACCTGTAAGATCATACGAGCTAGTTCTCAAAAAAGATAAGGATGTTCTAATTTCAAATAATCATCCGTCCCATCATAGAGAAGTATAATAGAAAAGGTGATATGATGTACCACCTATTTGAGTACATGACCCAGATGAGGTTGAAGAAATCAAATCCCATGGTTAAATGTCAAGGTTTTCATATAAAACTAGATGGACCTGCAAGGAGATGGTATAGCAAGTTACTGTCAGGCTCGATTAGGAGTTGTCCACAAATAAAGTAGGTGTTCCTAGGGGTTTCGATAGAAGTAGGTTGGGATAGTGTTGGGGATCCTAGGAGTTCAATCAACCAAAACAACAATCAACAAACAAGATTCAAGGCAAAAACAAGAAAAATAGAACCGGAAGAATACAACCCCTTCTTGGCCGAAATCTGTCCAGCTTTCCTCCCTCGTTTCAGCAGCTTCTTCTTCGATTTATGGGTGTTTTTCCAGGCTCAGGAACAGCCCCATGCTATGCCAATTGCCTTCCAAAGAGAGAGGGGAAAAAACCAATGAAGAACCACCACCATTTTCTATGAAAACCGAGAACTCCTCCTTCTGCTGGGCGGAGCCTCATATGGTCCAATGTGAACAATTATTGAACTTTGGGCCCATGCACATTCTAAGCTCCATATTTGGAATTCAATGGTGAGATGGACAATATTTGTCAACTTTTGGGATCCAAAACGTGGAAAACCTTATTGTGTCAACCTCACTCCCATCAAGTCACAACATTGGGTGGGGTTAGGTGAACCATATCCTCACATTCTTCACCTTGGATCTAAGGAGTATTTTTGAAGTCTAGGATTTGAATCATTTGATGCTTTTGGTATTAAGTGATTAATTGTGGAACAAAGAAAGATTTTTTTTTCTTTTTGGTTTTATCGATTTTAGGAAATTAATTATGGATTATGTGATTGGTGGAAAGTTTAAAAAAATTGGCAGTGAATCTTTAAAAAGCTTTATTTGGGTAATTTGATTCATTTTTTTTATGTCTCTGATGTAAACTTTGCTCTTACGTATTCTTAGACAGCTTCCTCTTCTTTTCTCATTATTGAAAAATAGACTATTTCGCCAGTTTCAGTCACTCATCTGTGCATAAATAAGTGGAAGTTCACTTGTCATTATTGTTGAATTAGTATGTTAAAGATAAATGTAATATGCACTTGTAATATGATTGATCGAAGTTTTATCTTCCCAACTTCGTTATGATACATCTATAAATTGACAGAGTTTTTATGTAACAACGAGATATTCTAATTTTTTGTGGCAATACATCCTACTATAGAAATTTAATTTTTTGAATGAGATACATTTTTGGAGAATGATAATGAAGTTGTTGTATAATGATATTAAAGTATAAAAATTCAAAAGGAATAAGTGTAACTTATGAACTATGTCATTCTTAGTATTTTTGTGATATTATTTTATATTTTTTTCATCATTAAATCCATCACCAAAAACTTAAAATTTGACGTCGATTAAATTGCACTAGCACTGAAAGAATTTCCTGGCTCTGCCCTTGCAACTCTTTATATTCTACTCATATATATAAGCAATATGAAGATCAACCTGTAAGATCATACGAGCTAGTTCTCAAAAAAGATAAGGATGTTCTAATTTCAAATAATCATCCGTCCCATCATAGAGAAGTATAATAGAAAAGGTGATATGATGTACCACCTATTTGAGTACATGACCCAGATGAGGTTGAAGAAATCAAGTCCCATGCTTAAATGTCAAGGTTTTCATATAAAACTAGATGGACCTGCAAGGAGATGGTATACTAAGTTACTGTCAGGCTCGATTAGGAGTTGTCCACAAATAAAGTAGGTGTTCCTAGGGGTTTCGATAGAAGTAGGTTGGGATAGTGTTGGGGATCCTAGGAGTTCAATCAACCAAAACAACAATCAACAAACAAGATTCAAGGCAAAAACAAGAAAAATAGAACCGGAAGAATACAACCCCTTCTTGGCCGAAATCTGTCCAGCTTTCCTCCCTCGTTTCAGCAGTTTCTTCTTCGATTTATGGGTGTTTTTCCAGGCTCAGGAACAGCCCCATGCTATGCCAATTGCCTTCCAAAGAGAGAGGGGAAAAAACCAATGAAGAACCATCACCCTTTTCTATGAAAATCGAGAACTCCTCCTTCTGCTGGGAAAATTATAGAGATCGAGAGCTGCTCCTCTATTTAAATGGTAGAGAGTACATCTAAAGGGGAAGGTAGGAAGACCATGCCTCTGCCAAAACGTGGAAGACCTTATTGTGTCAACCTCACTCCCATCAAGTGAACCATATCCTCACATTCTTCACCTTGGTTCTCCTAACACTCTCTCTTGGTTGCGAATTTGCACATGGAAGAACTGTTCATAATCATCGCCCACCACCTGCAAGAAAAATTAACCAGTGTCAATGTGTAATAAAGATAAGCACAATCTAAATTTACTTGCAGGTAGAATTTTTGTTCCCATATCAGAGGGATTCCTATCAGTGTGAATTTTAACAAGATTAACTTCACCTTGAGACAGTTTCTCACGTATAAAATGATACTTTACCTCAATATGTTTAGTTCTTTCATAGTAAACAGGATTTTTACAAAGCAATAAAGCACTTTGACTATCAGTAAACATAACAGGTGTATCATGCATGAAGTTCAATTCTTTTAAAATTCCTTTTAACCAAGTACATTCTTTAGCAGCCTCAGTTATGGCAACATATTCTGCCTCAGTACTTGACAAAGTAACTAAAGGCTGCAGCTGTGACTTCCATGTTATACAATTGTCACCTAGTGTAAAAAAGTACGCTGTGGTAGACTTTCTGCTATCCTTGTCACCAGCAAAATCAGAGTCTACATACCCCTTTAGAGTAAGTTTTTCAGATCTCTTTTCATACACTAGACCCAGATTTAATGTACCAACAATGTACCTTAACAACCATTTCAAACCTGCCCAATGAGGCTTTCCTGGGTTTGACATAAATCTGCCAAAAAACTTATAGCATAGGCTAAGTCAGGCCTGGTTGTTATCATAGAGAACATGACGGAACCTATAGCATTAGCGTAGGGTATGTTCCTCATTTCTCTAAATTCCTCCTCAGTCTTAGTTAGCACTCCCCAAATCTTTCATATCAAATTCTGATTTTAAAAGGTTCTTCATCTTAGTGATTTCAGTCTTACTTGAACTTGCTAGAAGCATGTCATCTACATACAGCAATAAGTAGACCTCACAGCCCTCCTTACTATCATTATAGTATATGCATGCATCATATTCACTCCTTTTAAAACCTATCTTCAGAACATAGGTATCGAACCTTATGTACCACTGTCTAGGGCTTTGTTTAAGCCCATACAGAGATTTTTCTAATTTGCACACACAGTTAGTTTTACCTTTCACCTCAAAACCTTGAGGCTGACTCATGTAAATATCCTCTTCTAATTCCCCATGTAGGAAAGCAGTCTTGACATCTAGCTATTCCAGTTCTCAGTTGTACTGAACAACCAATGCAAGAACCAGTCTGATTGTTTTGTACTTTATCACAGGAGAGAATATCTCATTGTAATCAACCCCCTCCTTTTGAGTGAACTCTTTCGCCACTAATCTGGCCTTATACCTAGGAGGATCACTAGGATTATTTCCTTCTTTCAATTTGTAAATCCACTTACATTGAACTATCCTATGATCCTTAGGTTTGTTAACTAACTTCCAAGTTTTATTCTCCATTAGAGATTCCATTTCTTCCCGCATAGCTTTTAGCCAATTTTCAGAACATTTTCCATTAACAGCTTGTTCATAACTAGCAAGTTCTATCTGTTCAAGGGCTTCACCTGAAACCAAGGCAAAATCAGTCAAGTTTAGGGATTCATATCTAGGATTTGGCCTGATTTGCCTCCTCCCCCGATCCCTAGTAAGCTGATAATCTTGATTAGGTGGCTGATCATTAAAATGTTCAACTTCAACTGGTTCAATGTTATCTTGAAGTTCAGTCACCTCTTCAGGTTCAGGTTCAGGTTCAATTTCAATTTCATTTTCATTTTCATGATGTATAGGGTCATTTTCGTCATTCCCAGGTGTAGGTGAATTTAGCCTAGTCAGCTTCACCTCAGTCTGAATACTCTTCTCAGTTTCAGATTTGTTAGTTTCTTCGGTTTTCTGTTTTAGACATGGCATCTCAGATTCATTAAAGACTACATTCCTGCTGTTAATAATCTTAATGCCTTGGACCCCTAAAACCTATAACCTATTGCCCTTCACACCCTCGGGATACCCTAACATCACACACTTGACAGCCCTGGGCTCAAGTTTCCCTTCAGATTGATGTGCATATGCAGCACATCCAAACACCCTCAAGTGTTCCAGATTTAGAGGCTCTCCCGTCCACAACTCCTGTGGGGTCTTAAACCCTATACTGCTGGATGGAGACCTATTAATCAGATAAGTTGCAGTACTTGCAGCTTCAGCCCAAAAACCTTTCGCAAAGCCAGAGCTAATCAACATACACCTAACTTTGTTCATTATGGTCCTGTTCATTCTTTCAACGACCCCATTTTGTTCAGGTGTGTATTTAACAGTTCTGTGTCTTGTTATACCTTTCTGCTTGTAGAAGTTGTCAAATTCGCTATTACAGAATTCAAGCCCATTATCAGTTCTTAACGTTTTAAGTTTCTTATCTAACTGATTCTCAACAGACTTTAACCAAATTCTGAATTTTCCAAAAGTTTCCGACTTAGCCTTCAAAGGATAAATCCAAACCTTTCTTGAGTAATCATCCACTAAGGACAAGAAGTACTTGCTCCCACCAAATGTGGAGTGCTTCTCCGGGCCCCATAGATCAGCATGGACATAGTCCAATGGTCTGCTGGTCCTATGAGAGCTAGCTTCAAAGCTCACCTTATGAGACTTACCCAAAACACAAGTTTCACAGAATTCCATAGTTTCAATGTCATCTTTTCCAAGTAATTTCTGATTACTTAAAGATTTTAGACCTTTAAACCCAATGTGACCCATTCTGTTATGCCAAAGTTCAGTTTTGTCTTTACTCACAGGAAGGAGGCTAGAATCAAATGGTATTTTAGTTCTACCCTCAAGATAGTACAGCACATTCCTCTCAGGCCTCTTCATAACTATAAGAGAACCCTTCATAATTTTCAAAATCTTGTTACCAGACTTGAAGGTATATCCCTCATCTTCCAGAGAACCTAAGGAAATGAGGTTCCTCTTTAAATTTGGGACATATCTAACATTTCTAAGTTGCGTGACGGCCCCATCGTACATCCTGATGGCTATGTCACCAACTCCAATCACATTTTGAGAATTATTGTCTCCCATGTAAACCTTCCTAGGTTCAGTCTCCCTATAGTTATAAAACCAAGACCTATCAGGGCACATATGGAAAGTGCACCCTGTGTCAAGAATCCAATTTTTGTCAAATTCTTCTTCAGACACATTCATGACATGCAAACTATTAAATTCAGTAGCAATAGCAGCATTATCAACATCAGAATTGTTCGGGTCTTTTTGTTTCCTTTTCCAATCAAAGCAATCTTTCTTGAAAT